TCTTTTCATCCACTCCAGACTTCAGACCTGGGTGGCCCCGGGACCCCAAGCCTGAAGCTACTTCCTTGCCTTCTGTGTCAGTTGCTCACCTTGGTTTTGGATGTTATTTAGCGAAACGAATGGTTCTTCCTGCCTTATTACTGTAGGGAGGGGTGGGGGTGGGCTCTGTTCACTTCTTTTTGTCATCTGTGGGCTTCATTCATATACCTATGTCCCTGGACATGCTGGGGTCGTGGGAGTTGGGTTCTAGTTCAGCCATTGCCATTGACCAGCTTCAGAAGAAGTCATTTAACTTTCCTGGACTTCAGTTTTTTTCATATAAAATTAGGTGGTTAGCCTTAGATCATCCTTTCCACTTCCAACATTTATTGAAGAGGGAGCATCAGTAACATGAGATGGGAAATTGGAAGGTAAAATTGTCTTCTGGCTGAGTTGGGTCTGGAGGCTGGAATGATATGCTCAGACCCTCCACAGAGGAGCCCGTTACGTCATATTGGCCATGGTTACTTAGGCCCAGCCAGTAGGGAACAGGCAGGAGCTACAAGTGAAATTCACCTGTTGTTTTCTGCCTCTCAGCCATTGCCTTCACTGCACCTCACCTTGTTGGGGAAGCTGGAGGCTTTTCTGAGAATAGCCTTGTCAGACCAGGGAAACCTTCAGACAGGCCAGACGAGTTCGGCTGAGGCTCCCGGGGTAGTATAGGAAAGGGCCTAACAAGGTGAGAGGTCGCTTTAGTGAATGACCTTTGATCCGAATTGGAGTAGGCCAGTCCGCTTTTGGTCATGAGGATGCAGTTTAATTGTTCTCTTATCCCCTTGCTTCTTCCTCTCCTACAGTATATTCTGTCCTTGGTGCTTCAGGCGTGGGTAGGGGAGGAGTTTCGTAAAAGCACTTGGAAAGACTGAGAAATCCTAGCCAGAAGTATTTAAGATATTAGTACATTTCCTTTTCAAACTTAATCATATGTAATCTGACAGAAGCATCTTCTAGGCTTTGATGTCTCCTTCCTCCATTCATTGGACCCATTTCACCCCTTTTTTAGTTCCTTCCATCCCAAGGGAGTTTTTAGGAATGATATCTAGTGTTGGGACTTTCTTAGAATAGACTAGAACTTTGGAATGTGGAGGTGCAGCCTTGGACATAAACAGCATGTCCCTAATTCCACGTGTGTCAGTATGTAAGGAGCGTAAACCTGGAGTCTTGCGACCCCAGTAGGACACAAATTTGAGTTTGTAATATGGAATTTGGGGTGTGAGGTGTGAACTGAGCAGCCCAGACATGCAAGGAGACCTCTACCGTCACTGATGCAGCAGAACCAGTGGCAGGTCCCGCACAGGAAATGCACGGATGGCCCTTTTGTTTTCTGTTGAAATGCCAGATTCACCTCTTCCTCTTCTCATTCTAGTAACTGCATGGGCTGGGTAAAACACAGTGTCTACACACTGGCCTGCTGACCTCTCTGCTCCACAGTGAAAACAGAGATGCTGCCTAGGTAGGGGTGGGGTTATCTTTTCAGAAGCAGTAGGTAGGCCTTAGATGCCCAGTGGCTTTTTGCAGGCCAGCAGCAGATCTGAAGCCGCATTGCTAAACTCTTGCCTAATGTTGTCAGGCTTATTGTCCCCATGTGACCCAAATAAACAGATGATCATGTGAACCCAGTAAGGCTGTTTGTTTTAAATAGCAATCGTCTCTTTTAAGCCCAGAAGCAGATGGGTTATTGGGGGCAAGAGAGAAGCCAGGACCAAATCCTCTTTTGACTCTGCTTCTGAGTGGCTCAGAACCCTCCTTTATTTTTGGTGATTATCTCTGAGAAGTGCTGTGGCCAAGGGATCCCATGTCCAACACGTAATGAGCTATGAGATCATGAAAACCACTTAGGGACCCAGAGCTTCAGCTTCCTCCAGTGAAATGGGGAGACTTCCAGAAGGAAAGCCTATGGAAGGGTGGGCTTATCAGCCTAGACTGTCTGTGAGAGCTGTTTTCCCCATCAGGGAGTGAGAAGAGGACTCACTGAATGTAGTGCCTGTGTGCATGGGACTTGTGCTCTCTGGAGTATTTCCCACATGGAAACCAAGGGCCCGAAGAAGGCTGGAGCAGGGTGAGTCTGGAAAGCAGGATGCTTGCTCAGAATAAGCAGCAGAGATGGTCTCAAGTAGAGCAAGGCCTTGGGTCACTACTGTAGAGTGTTCTATTTTGAACTAGAACTTTTTAGCTTTCCCCCCCTCTTCCTGCCCACAGCCCTGGGGTCCAGGGTCATTCCACTTCCTCTGAGGCTTTGGGATAGGCCAGGTCCTACTCCCCAGGCAAACTGCACACAGGCCTAATTTAAGCAGGAGACGTCTCAGGGAGAGAGACCTTGCCATAAGAGCAGGAGTGCCCAACCATTGAGCTATTCCTGCTTAGTTTCTCAGGGTCCTGTAGCTGCAGTGATGAGATAATAGGGGGTGGAAAGACTCAGTGTCTGACTTAAGCTTACAGATGGATGACCATGAACCTCAGTTTACTCATCTGTAAATTGGAAATAATACTTGCATTGATAACATCAGAAGTTTAATGTAAGGAAAGTAATTTGCAGATCTTAACGATAAAAACTGAACTGATTATAGTTTAGACGGTCGGATGACATCAGAAGTACACTGCTTTTGTAGTCAGGACAGTTGGATAAATTAACTGGTTCTGCCACTGACTCTGCGTCATTGGACCTTCACCTCCATGAGCTGTTTTCCTGGCTTAAGAAAATGAGGGAGTTGGACGAGAATTTGATTTTACAAAAGAGGAAACATGCAGAGAGAAGTGACTTGTCCCAGACAAGTTAGTGATATTCTAATGTGTTCCTGAGGATACAAAGAAAGGCAAAACAGCTCCTGCCCTCCAGAAGCTGACCATCTAAGGGGGCAGAAGTGGTAGATAGGTAGAAGACACTAAGGTCTTGTGATTTTAAGTCGAATTATCTACCCAAACCACCAGTGCCTTTGCCCCATCTGTGGCCAAAGCAGCTGCAGACCCGGGGGCTTGTAACATCCACCGGGAAAATGGTGCCAAGTTTCTTTCGGAAGTCCCATGTTTGTTTTTTGCCTGTCCCCTCCTAGACTAGGAGCTGTTCCTGGTACCCATATTCGATGGTGGGCAAAAGGGGATGGAGTTTGGTGCCAGGGCCCTGATCTGGCTTGGCCTGTCATTTTCCCATACAAATAGTGTCTGGAAAGATCCTCCACTGGACAAAATGGAAGTGGACAGGGTGCAGTTAGGTCTCAGCCCAGCCTTTCTGTTTTACAAATAAGGAAACTGAGGCGCAGAGAGCCTAAACGAGTTGGGTCTCGAAGGCGGCTGCTAGGCCACCGCTCTCGTCGCTGGACTGCGGTATGCCCTTTAGGTGGCTGTGGCTGCCCCCCTTTTCGGTGTTTCGAATGACTCGACGTCAGCTGCTTGGAAGCAGACGAGGGATTCGAGGTAAGAGACTCCGGCACGGACCTGGCCGCATAATGAGAATACAACCTTCTGCCCACTCGGGACCCTACCCCATTTATTATTCTTGCTGGGGGTGGCAGGGGACAGCCCCCAAACTGGGAGCCCGTAGACAGAGCCTTCCACCAGCACTGAGGGAGGCGAGTGAATCCCGAACGGGTCAGATCCCGCGCTGGGGGCTCCCCGGCCCCCGTGGGAGCAGGCCCAGAACCTCCTCGCGGTCAGTCACTTGGGGACCCCGGGGCCGGGGCGGGGTCAGGAATGGAGCCCGGCCTTCACCCCCGCGCGCCCCACCCTGAAGCCGCGCCGAGTGGCCCGAGTGGCCCGGGAGGGCAGGGCTTCCGCCCTCCACGTTGTTGTTCCTGAGGCTGGCCACGCCCCCTTCCCCCACCCCGGGCCTTGGACTCTCCCCTTCCCCTTTCCTCTCTCCTCCCCTTCTCATGTCCCAAGTCGGGGGCGGCCTCCGGCCGGGGTCGTCGGGGATGCCCCGCGAGCCAGATGCACGTGGGAAAAGGGAATACTCGGGGGTTCCTTGGGCTATGATCGGGGGGAGAATGAGGCTTAACAGGGGAGATGGGGGAGGGGGGTCTTCATTTCCTCGAGGGAATGGCAGGATGCCAACCACAAAGTGAGACCCCGGCTCGCCTGGTTCTCTCTCTTCGTCCCCATGGCCCCCTGCCCCAAGAGCTCATTTACCCTGGCGGGCACTGGCCCTTTAAACGGGTGGCCGACGGTGCGGGGTGTCCATGTGGAGCTGCTCCATGCCGTGTTGTCCTGCCCGCCCATTGGCCCGCGGCCCGCTGACGTCTACTAATGAAATGCGAACGCACTGCGGGGGGAGGATCGGCCGCAAAACCCGGGAGCGGATCGCTGCTCCATTCTTCCCCGCCCCCTCTCCCGGAGCTTCCTTTTGCCTGCCCCGCCCAGGGGCGGGGCACCGCGGGAATTGCAAAAGACTTGGGGGGGCGAGGGGAGTGGAGCAGGTTGCGGGGGGGGGGGAGCTCCGGCTACCAAAGGACTGAGGGGCCGAAGGTGTCCTTCCTTCTCTGTGCTACCACCTTAACGGAGCCCGTAGGGCGCTAGTGTAAGCATCAGACCCTTGCCTTCCTGTACACGGCGGGACCTGGAGTAGATCGTTGCCCAGCCTGGTCCTAGGCCCCCGAGATACCTGAGGGGCCGGGGCGAGAGGGGCTGCATTGGGAGGAGGAAGTGGAGCGTGGATGCCGGGGCCGCCCTTGCTTCGTCCAGCCCCGCCCCCGTCCACGTGTCCACGCGGCCGCCCGTCCGTAGGCGGGGTTTGCCCCACGGGGCTCCGCCCACCGCGAGGCGCCGCTCCTGAGCCTGGGCGGGCGGGGCTCCGGTCCGGGCTTTGGCGGCGGCCCCGGTGTAGTAGCGGGGGCGGCGGCCGGGGGCAGCGCGGCTGCTTCCCCTTGTTGTGTGTCGGTGCCTCCTCGCCATCTTGTTGCAAAGCCCTTTCTTGTCGGCGGGACTCGCGGGGGCCGCGGGGCGGGAGGCACCGGGCGGGAGGGGCGGGCGGGAGGGGCGGGAGGGAGGTGGCGCCGCCTCGGGGGGGTTCTAGGGCTGCACCCAAGCATTTTTTCCATTTTTATTTTTTTGCAACTCCCATTTTTGGGGGCCGCTTTTGGGGAGCATCTTTCCCGCGATCCCCCGGCTGAGTGCCCTGCGGCCCCCCAGGTCCGCCTGCCCGGTTGGCCGAAGCCCCCCGAGGCCCGCCCGCCCGCCTGCCCCGCGGCGCGCCCCCGCCGCCCGAGCGATGAGCATTGAGACGCTTCTGGAGGCGGCCCGCTTCCTGGAATGGCAAGCGCAGCAACAACAGAGAGCACGTGGTGAGCGGGCCGGGCTGGGCCCCGGGGGCACAGGGGGGGACCCTGGCCGGGGCGCGGGGGAGGCGGGGGCGAGGCCGCGCCGCGCACCCGCGCTGCCAGCTCCGGGAGTCATTAGCATTCTGCCGGGGGCCCCAGCTCCGCCCGCCACTTCTCCCCGCGGCCCCCACTTCTCGGGGTCCCCTCTCCCAGCGGGGGGCTGAGGGCAGGGGGCTTGGTCGTCAGGCGGCGAGGAGCCTCCGGCTGTCACCAGGCATACTGGGGGGATAGCGGGGGTCGGCGCGGGGGATGGAGCAGGGCGTGCATGCCCGGTGCGCGCGTCTGGGCGTGTGGTCTGATCGGAAGGGGATGCGGGGAGGTGCGCGTACACGGGTGTGCGTGTGTAGAGTACACGGGTGGGGGTAGGGATTACTCTACGCCGTGAGGCTCCCCTGCTTCCCAGGCCGTGGGGGCCCCCCGGCTGGGCTGCGCGCGGCTGGGGGCGGGGGCGGCCTTTGCAGAATGAAATGACATCGCTTGTCATATGATCCTGGGCCGGCCCCGCCTGACCCCGCCCCCCGAGCTGGGCTGGGGTGGACTTTGGGGGTCCGGGGTCCACAGGCGATCTGGAGACCTGGAGGGTCTCCCCGGATGCCGGGCAGACCCCTTCCCCCTTACTCCCCCTCTTCCTCAGTGTCGCGGGCCCCCTCCCGGTCCAGGTGGAATGTCGAGGGTCTGCGCGTTCCAAACTCGCTCTCGCCTGGAATGTTGCGTGTGTCTGTGTTCCAAGCTTGTTGGTTACTTGGGGCTGGTGACGTGGCCGCGCTCCGCCCCCGAACACGTGCACCGGGGACACTCCCGCTGGGGACTGGGCCGCTGCTACCTCCCTGCAGACCTAGGTTCCCGGAGCAGGGAAGGAGGGGTGGGGTAAGAGGCGGGGCTGAGGAGGGGGCCCAGCCCGGGACGACTGGGCCTGGGGCGGCTCCCTGGGAGAGCCTGGGGGAGGGAAGTGGCCTGACCCTTCCTTGCCTCTTCCCCCTCCCAGATTTCCTGCATTTATCTTGGGGTGATTGAAGGTAACCCCAGGATTCAAGGGCTATGTACTGAGAGATGGAGACCCTTGTCTGTTCTCATCAGTCGTTTCCCCTTCCCCTGCCCAGGGGGACTGGGCCCCTGACAAAGGGGGGGAGCAAAGGGGGTGGAGCATCTCCTTGGCACTGGGAGAAAGAGGGACCCATTTAATGTTCTGTCGCCCAGCTCCTAGGCCCCAGACTTATCCCCAGCCCTTAGACTCCCTGTTGGGAAGGAGGCTAAGGGAAGGAGTGGAAAAGATTTGTGTCCCTGGCTGAGTCTCTTTCTGGGCAGAAGGACATTCATTCTTCAGCCTCGGTCCTGCTTTGGAAATGCGTGCGTGCGTGCAGGATCTGGGTTCGCTCTCCCGGCCCCCCCTTTCGCGTCTCGCCCCTCCCCCCCGGCAAAAAAAAAAAAAGAAATCTTGCGCTCCAGTGCTCCCTTCCTTTCGCTCGGTGTCTATTGTTGCTTCTGTGATGAGTCATTCTGGAGGTTGTACGAGTGTTGTGTGTGCGTCTATGTTCAAGGCCTCGCCTGCAGAGAGAGAGAGAGAGAGAGAGAGAGAGAGAGAGAGAGAGAGAGAGAGAGAGAGAGTGTGTGTGTGTGTGTGTGTGTGTGTGTGTGTGTGCGCGCGCACGCGCGTGCATGCGTTCCAGAACCTCGGAGTCGGATGGGAACCTCTCCTGGGGCGGGAAGGGGGTGCTAGCCGAGTGACCGCCGCACCACACCGGCTGGTCTCTCAAGGTCAGAAGGATTTCCAGGGTCTGTGATCTGGATTGCTGGGGGCAGATCTGTTGGGGCTCTCCCTCCCTTTCTGCTATGCTCATACAAACATGGCTCCACTCTTCCCTCCAGTTCCCCAGCCAGGTCAGGGCCCGGCCTAGGTCATTCGGGTAGTACTGGGGTGTCGATGTTTGCTTGGTTTGGGAAGGGGCTTGGCCCAGCTGGTTCTCCCCTTCACTCTTCTCCCCACCCCCCCTGTATTTTTGTGGTATAGATGTCTGTGGTCCCTGAAGTTTCCTGAGGACCCCGTACTCAGATAGATGCAGCTTAAAAGAGGAGGCAGAGAGAGAGAGCTGAGGTCCATTCTTTCCTTTTCTCATCTCCTGCAGAGTGCTTTCTCAATACTGTCGCACCTGGACTCACTCACAGACACTTATGGAGAAGTGCCAAGCAGAACTCTTGGAGAGAGTCCAATAGCTATCCAGAGGGTTAAGGGGAGCCGAAGGCTTCTGTCGCTCCCGCCCTTGCTCTGGGAAGGTGTGGACAGCAGGAGGTGGGGGAACCTTGTGGTTCTCTGGCCCGTGAGTCCATACCAGGGCTCATGTCCACATCTGCCTGTCGCCAGTGTCTCACTAGAATTCCCCACCTTAGAAGGCAATGGAGAAAAAAGTCTGTCTTCAGGGTCAGTTCAGAGAGATCCAGCCTAGTAGAGGGAGTCTGTGTGTTTGGGTAGCCTTTGGTCCAAGAGTCAAAGCTAAAGGCAGGGACACCAGAGGTCAAGCCATCCCTCCTTCTGCCTCTTAACATTCTGTGTCTCCCCACTCTTGGGGTGGGGAAGGTAGAGGAGCAGTGGGCTGTGGTCTGGACCCCAGGATTGTTGAGAATTCAGGCTGGACAGCCATCCTCTTCCGCCCTGGTCTTTTACATAGACTGCCTTTCCAGCTCCCAAAGGGACCTCCTCGCTGGTACCCCCACAATTCCAGCCCAAACGTCCTCTCTACCTAGAGGAAACAATTGGGTTCCTCTGTGACCCCTTGGGGTGCTAGGTGCTCACCAAACTAACCAAGGTCTCTGATGAGATATGTTTGGTTCTCCATGGTGCCTGGACAGAACCCTTGCCCAGGCCTCTGGGCCTTCATTTGTGGGGGTGGATTAAAAACTGACCTGGCTGGACAGAACCATGGGGATTCATATTTTTAAGAGGAAGAGTAGGGTTAATTCAGTACCTATTAAATACCTAATATGTTCAGGTCCTAGGGGAGGCACAGTTTAATTAAGATACATTGTCTACTCAATGGAGCAGACAGTGGAAGGTCTAAGACATAGATTGAAGGTCAGAGAAGTGTGAAACTGAGCCCCTCATTCAAACTGAGGTATTCAGGATGGGAAACCTGTGGCATCTGGCCCTGTGGGTCCTCTTTGACTAAATCCAAACTTCACAGAACAAATCCCATTAATAAGAGGATTTGTTCTGTAAAACTTGGACTCCATCAAAAGGCCACACCCTCTGGCCTGGAGGCTGCAGGTTCCCCACCCCTGTATAAGACCATTAACCGTGCAGAGGCCAACACTGGGCCAAGATGGCTTCGGCCTCTTCCAGAATCATCCACATTACTTGCATGGATCTAGATCTTCAGTTTGCAGAGTGCTCTCTGTACGTTATCTCCCTTTGTCTGCCCCACAACCCTGGGAGGCTGGAGCAACTCTTATCCCTCATTTTACAGATGAGGAGATTGCCTGGGCTGGGTGAGGTTACTCTGGGCCCATGGCTAAGGTGGAATCTGAATCCAGATCTTCCTGACTTTCATGTCCAGTCAACCCCAGTCTGCTATACCAGATTGCCTCAGTGGTCTTAGAATTTCCATGTTAGGAGGTCATCAGGCTCAGTCTCTGCCAAAGCATGACCCTACAACAGCGCCCTCCCTTGGAAGACCAGATGCCATGATGCTTCTCTCCCTGCTCATCTCAGTGTGCCCTTTGGAGCCAGAAAGACTCGTCTCCAATACTTATAGTTGTGCAGCCCTGGGGGAGTCACTTGAGTCTCTGGGGTACCGTTTCCTCATCTGTAAAAGAAGCAACTTGGACTAGTTGAACTAGATACCCCTCCCTAGCTCTTATGAGGTCCTGGTGACTGAGACCACCTGCCCCAACACCATCCTTTAGGACCATGGACTGGAGAGGCAGAGAAGGAAGGGTCTGTGCCTAGGGATACAGAGTGTTTGTATGTGTGTGTGTGTGTGTGTGTGTGTGTGTGTGTGTGTGTGTGTGTGTGTGTGTGTGTTGGTGACAGTGCCTCTCTGTGTAGGGAGGAAGGATGGATGGTGTTTAAGCCCAGCTATCTCTGCCAAGAGTGCTTGGGCTCACCATGGTCCTTACTTTCCAAGGGGCAGGGGAAGGAATGAGAGAAGTTTATGAGCTGGGCATCTAGGGTGGGGAGGGCGGAGACACTTGCACAAAACTTTGAAGGTTGCACTCTGGGTCCCCAGAAATCATCCTACTTCCTCTGCACTACCCTAACATCAGAGGCAGGGCTGCCCCGGCATTTTACACAGCACACATCTTGGATGTACGTGGCTGTTTGCATGGTGTGTCTCTTATTTGACCATGAGTCCCTTGAGGGGCAGGGACCATCTTTTAGTCTTTGCGATCCCAACAGTTAGCATGGGGCCTGGTGCTTGTTGACTGCTTCATTAAGGCTGGGGAAGGTCATGTAGGGGTGCTGGGTGTCTTGGCTTGTCCTGACTTTACCGTAGCTAGTGGTGGTCAAGATCCTTGACTCAAGTCTTTAGCCTCTTTGAATTGTTAGTTTTGAAGAATGAGGGGAGGAGGAGGTGGGACTAAAGGAATATAGAGGGGGCAGATTGGGGAGCACCTGGCCTATTGAAAATCCTGCCCCTTCTCCCAGACCAAGCCTGAAGATGCCAGGTTCTTCTTTTTGGCTGAGGAGCAAGAGGTGGACTTATCCCAAGTTGAGTTAGCCACGTTGGTCCATGAGAATTTCGGAAGGGCCCCTTCCATGTAGATTGCTTGAAAGAGGCAGGAAACTGAGGCAGAGAGTAGAAAAGGGTTGGGTATAATAAAGGATGTGTGTTTGGGGACCGTGAAGGCCGGGTTCTCTCTCCTTCCTCCTTTCCCTTCCTGCTTCCCTTCTCTTCCCTCCTCCCCCTCTCCCCCAATGTGGTGGTGCTCTACAGAACAGCTCAAGGGGGAGGAGTGGAACACACAGGCACGCGCGCGCGCGCACGCACACACACACACACACACACACACACACACACACACACACACATATCTTATCAAAGAGCTAAGTCCTGCCTGTCTGTTGGGAAGCCACTGAGTACTGTCCAGTTATGAACTGTTCCCCTTTCCTTTCCTTCTCCTCCCAGAAGGAGGAGGGATTGGATACTAGAAGACTGGGGTCTCTGATTGGCCAAGGCACCTCCTCCTGCTCCTCCAGCTTCTGTGGGCCCCTCTGGCCAAAGAGCAATTCCAGAGCAATCCTGGCTGCCCCCCCCCCATGTTTCTCAGCTCTGCCTCTGAGCCTGCCTCCCTGGGGTGGCATGTTTGAGGCGTGTCTCAGCACACATGCAAATGACCTGCCGTGCTAGTCGGCTCCTCCTGTCTCCTGTCACCGCCCCCAACCCTGGGTTTCCAGGGCACTCAGGGCAGGGTGACCTGGTAATCTGGCCCACAGCCAGAGGAGAAGTAGCAGGAAAAAAAGCCCAGCCAGGTGGGAGGAGCCAGGGGATCCCAGGGCAGCCTCAGTGAGCCAGGGGGCATTCCTCCACCTCCCCTGTTCCACTCCCCAGATTCAAAGGGCAGGGGTTTGGGAGAGGCCTCCAGGCCAGCCTTGTGCTCGTTTCTGTACTGGGGTGGAGGTGCCTGGGTTCACTGTCCTGCTCTGCTCTTGTGCCTCCCGCCTGCATGGCTAAGTCAACCTGGCATATTCTCTCCCTTTCCTGGACCTGCACTCCCAGAGGAGGAGAAAACAAAAAAACCCAACCTAGTGCTGCAGGTCTGGTCTCATGATTCTTTCCAGCCACCCCTGGGAACTGTTCAGAGGCTTCCCCAGCCTTTGGGTGGAGGAGGAGCTGCTGCTTCTCTAAGTGCATTGGACCCTGAGAGGGCAGAAGAGTCATTCCTCACTTCCTCTTTGAGATCTGATCGTGGGGCCAAGAGCTCCAGGCTTAGGAGGCAGAAGACTTGGCTTCAACGTCCTGCTTTAGCCCCTTACTTCCTGGCTGTGTGACCCTGGGCAAGTCAATTCCTCTGAACTTCTCTGCATCCCTAAAATGCTTCCCCAGCCTCCCTCGAAGGATTGTTGTGAGAAGAAGTAATAATAGCAGTTCTTTTTTATTAGGTTTGCAACACAGATTCCAAACGTTATCTCATGTGATCAGAGAATCACATGAGATGATGGACGTGGAAATGCTTTAGGGGGAAAATCATAAAATGCTCGATAAATGTTATCAATACTCTGATAACTTTGGAGGAGGCAGTTCAGCCTTATGGAAAGGGCACCAGACTGTAGGAAACCAGGGTTCTAATCATTCTATCTCCAAGCATTCTTTGTGGGAGAGGGCCTGGAGGCAACCAGGCAGTAGAAGTATAGACAGAATATACACAAGATGAATCCACTGTAGGGGGGCGGGGAGGGTCAAGGAAGGCTTCTCTGAAGAGGAGGTGCTGCCAGAGCTGAGTCAGCTCACTTCTGTCCTCTTGCTTTGGTTTCCCCATTTGTAAAATGAGGGATAGAGCTGGCTTTGCATGACCTCAGAGCTCCCTTCTCATCTCACTTTCTCTGCTCCTACATAAGCCTGATAGCACCGAGGAGCCTGGGAGGAGACCTGGGTCTGTCATTTATCCAGTCCAAACCTTAGTTTTCTAATCTGTGAGATGAAGCTGAGAAGCCTTGTGTTGTTGGGAGAAAAGAATTTTGGGACTAGGGGATGGTCCAGTGGATAGAGCCTGGGGCTTGGAATCAGGAAGACCTCAATTCAGATCCTACCTTGTTAGCTGAGTGACCCCTAGGTAAGTCACTTAGGCTTTGCCTCGGTTTCCTCAAGTGCAGCACTCACCTCCTAGGATTGTCGTGAGGATCACATAAGCTAAGATTTGTGAAGTGCTCTGTGACGTGCTGAACGTGCCTATTAGGTGCTTAATAAATGCTTGATTTCCCCCTGCCCCCATGCTCGTTGCCTTTGGTAGCCTCCTGTCCCCAGCTGCGGAGGAGGGTGGTCAGTGCCTTGCCTTGGGCCCTGGTAGCCTGGCCCCTGGGTTGAGCTTGCCGGGTCTTTGTTCTTTCTCACCCATGTAGAGGAACATGAGAAACATCGGTTGGAGCGGGAGCGGGAGCAGAAGGCCAACGCCACGAGGGTTAATCATATGCTGCCCCCTGAAGAACCCCGGATTGAGGCCCCCCCCGCTTCCCTTGTCCCCTCCAGCTCCACCACCTGCCCCCCCACCCCCTCTGGCCACCCCAGTGACTGTCATCCCCATCCCTGTGGTGACAGGCTCCCCACAGCCAATGCTGCCCCCCACCCCCCTTACCCTTGCCCCCTGCCCAGCCGCTAACCCTAGCCCCACGCCAGCCAGCCTTGGTCAGCGCACCTGGACTCAGTATCAAGGACCCCATCCCCCCACTCCCCAGGCCACCAGCCACTGCCACCCCACTCCTGCCGGACTCGAAGGGCACCGCCGCACCTACAGGCAGCCCCAAACCCCTGCAGCCCTTCCCCACACCCATCCTGACCATCGCCCAGCACCACGTGGTCCAGCAACCCATTCAGCCTCAGCTGCCACCCCCGCAGCCACCTCCACCAGCCACACTGGCTGCTCTGAAGTTGGCGCCTGCTGAGGAGGTGAAGCACAGCGAGCAGAAGAAGCGGCCAGGGGGGTGAGTGAGACGGCAGTGTGGGCCCCCAGGGTGGGCAAGAGGGTCAAAGGGAGAGTTCACTCTCCAAAGGTCTTCTCAGGTGTACCTTGAGCTCTGGGCAGCCTGACCCTTTCCCTCAGCTTTAACCCTCCCAAAAAGCCCTTCTGAGAGGGATGGTTGCCGAAAACCTCCACCCATCACCTACAATTTTAATTCAGCAAGCATTTAGTAAGCTTAATAAATGCTGAGCGTTCAGAGACAAAACAAACCCAATTTCTGTCCAGGAGTTTTGAGTCTTAATTGGACAGAATAGAATATACACAGAGAAGTCAGTGTAAAGTACTGTCACAAAGACAGGTCACTAAAAGGGTGATGCCAGGCTTGGGGGTGAGAAGGAATCTTGGAGGCCTGGACACCTGAGTGAAGCTACTGGTTCAGAGAGTCCAGTGAGGGAATGCATTCCTTCTAGGTAGGGAGACAGTCTGTGAAAGCAGTGAGAATGTCGGGTTAAGCTGTCCAGTTTGCAGCGTGGTCGGGTTAAGCTGTCCAGTTTGCAGCGTGGAGTTTGAAGAGGAATAATCAGAGATGATTATTCCCAGTACCTTCTGCCCCTCAGAGGGCAGACCGCCTTTTCACACTTGGAGGGTGGGACTAGGCCCAGAAAGCCGCCGGCTTCCTCACCCCTGCCGTCTGTCTGGGTTGCAGGATCGGGACCAGGGAAGTTCACAACAAATTGGAGAAGAACAGGTGTGTATCTGGTGTCCTGGCCCCCTTTCCCCGGACCCTGTCTCCCATCTGCCTGCTGCCAGTCCCCGGCTAACAGATCCAAGCTTTTGCCTCTCTTCGTTGCTTCCCCTCCCCCCAAATCGATGGTCCGACAGCCCGTGCCATTGCCCCTTACCCACAGCCCAGACAGCCAACCAACCCCTGCAGCTGACCAACTTGCATCCTCTTCCTCCCTCCCATCCCCATCCCCTAGGCGGGCCCATCTGAAGGAATGCTTTGAGACTCTGAAACGGAACATCCCCAATGTGGATGATAAGAAAACGTCCAATCTAAGTGTCCTCCGCAGTGCCCTGAGATACATTCAGGTATTGGACTTTGGGGGGAGGCAGGACTGTTTGGGGGCCTGCCAGATGTTGGGGAAGGAAGCATTTTAAGGACGGGTTTATGCCAGCCCATGCCCCTTTGTAGCCGGAATGTGGATTAGGTGGTGGCCGAGCAGCCTGCGTGTGTTTGGGATGTGGAGAGGGCTCCGCTGGAGGCTCCGGGGGGGGGGGGAGTAGGGACGCTAGGCCTGGGCCTTAGGGTTAAAGGCGGGCTGGCAGAGCCGGCTGGGCCTATGCGAAGGCGGTGCAGCGGCGGCTGGAGCAGCTTCCTCTCCTTCCCCTGGGCTCCGGCTCCAGCGCCAGCTCCCGCTCCCCCTCCTTCTTTCCCCCTCCCTTCTCCACGCGGGCACTGAGCACATGGCCCGGGCTGGCGCTGACGTCAGCGGGGCTCCCTCCCTGCCGGGGGAAGGGAAGAGGAGGGGGAGGGGACTGGAGCAGCCAGCCAGCAGAGGCGGGCTGTGTGCAGCTGCAGCCGCAGCCGCGCAGGCTGGGGGAAGGGAGGGAGGAGAAGGCGACACCTAGCCGGGAAGGGCGGGGGAAGCTCTTGCACACCCCTGGAAGTGGGGGCACCCTCTTAATTGCAAAAGGAATCAGATGGGTGGGAGGGTGGGGCAGAGGCGAGAAAGTGACCGACAGGTTTTTGGGGAGGAGCAGCTAGGGCTAGTATGAGCCCCGGTTTTGGGGTCGGGCCGGTTCGCATCTCGGTTAACACGTTTGCCAGCTGTTTTGTGTGAGGCCCTTTCTCTGGCAGAGCCCCAGGGCCCTGCGCTTAATTGGGATGCAGTGATGCTGTCTATTACTTGTGTGACATTGGCAAGTCCCAACCTCTGGGCCCTTCCGTGCATCTATGAAATGAGCGGGTTGGACAAGATGCTGAGGTGCTTTCCAGCTCAAAATCAATGTTTCTCCCTGCTTGAGAGGGTTGTTGGGAGGAAAACACTTCTATTTTCAGACCTGAAAGCACTATATAAATGAGTTACTCTGTTGGGCCAGTTTCAGAATTTAAATAGGCCACTGACTCCGTCTCCTACCTCTCGTTTTAGCTAAGAAGCCCCCCTCTCTCTTGCAATGCCAGTTTTTCCAAACTGGACTTTTTTGTCCCAGGGCTTTTTGAGGCAGTGGGGGGGGGGTGTCGATGGTAGATCTCACTGGCTTAAATGAAGCGGGCTTACTGGGGTTGGAGTATGAATGGAGCAATCCGATCTTTGCCAGGACAAGAGTTGTAAGTAGGTTTCTCCGGGAGCCCTGGTCCTTTCCTAACCTTGCACCCAGGGGATTAAGGTCACACTGCAGGAATCCACCCTGATTGCGTCAGATACCTCTGAGCCAGGCAAAAAGAGCTGGACCTCGAGTCCTTCAGGGTGAGGGCAGTGTGTTGTAGCTGTAGGACAATTCCCACCCCTTTGTGCAGGCCAATGGTGGGTGGTGAGAAGGGAGTAGTTCTGGGACAGATTAACAGACTCATGGATTAAGCATTGCTAACCGATTTAGATGCTAGATTTGGATTTGGAGACAGGGGCCCCGGGTTCGAATTCCACTGAGGGATATTAACTAGATGGATGGGTGAGCTTCACCCCTTCTGACCCCAGTTTCCTCATCCTGGAAACAGGGGCATGGACTGACTGGATGGCCTCTGGGGTAGGTCCACTGGGCTCCAAAGCCACGATTCTGGAGCAGCCCCTTCTCTCCCTGAGATGAGAAACTTGGGGCCCTGGAGGTCGAAGCGTTATGTCTGAGCTTGCACAGTCCAGAAGGGTCTGAACTGCGATTCCACCTCGGGTCCTGCTCCCAGTGCGGGTCTCCCAGCCTCGGCTGCGGAGTCTGTCACTCTTCGCCCTTTAAAAATAACTCCCTTCTGCCCGAGAGGAACCCCCCCTCGCACCGCCCGCGCGCCGCGTCTCCACTGCAGTGGGGTGGGGGTGGGGGCACTCGAGCTGCCAGGCCCGCCAGATAAGACGGTTGCCATGGCAGCCGCGAGTCTCTGTCTCCCTGGAAACCGTCAGGGTCCCGCAGGTGTGCACGCGCTCATGGAGTGAAGGCGGGGAGTGGGGAGGGGAGCGGGAGGCGCGCGCCCGAGGCGAAGCGCCGTCGCGGAGCCGGCCCGGCTTGGGAGGAGCCCGGGGCTCCCTCCTTGCCCGCCCGGTGGGGGCGGAGCCTGCTCTGCTGTGACTTAGGTTGGAGGCCTGGGGGGAGGGGGGCATTTTCGGGGCTCGCTGGATTGACTGGGGAGAGGGCTAGGACTTGACGTCATTCTGCCTGTATCCCGTGGGCGCCGGGCTGGGGGACCTCGGCGGGCGGCCCCACCCCAGCATGGCCGTTAGGTTTAACGGCTGCTTCCGGCCGCTGGGTCCGCGGGGTCGCTGCTCTGATGTCACGGGGGCGGATTTTTTTTTTAAATTATCCTTTAATGCGCTGTGGCCCGGAGGATGCTCCTCTTCCTCTCCTCCCCCCTCTCCCGGCGTTCTTCCGGGCTGGGTGGGGGAAGGGGCGTCCGGCGGGCTGGCTTGAGTCCAAGGCGCTTCCCGGCACGGGTAGGGGGAGGAGCCAAGGTCTCTGATTGGCTGGGTGGGAATGAGCCGGGCTAGGGTGCGGGGGGGGGGGGTGCAGCAAATGGGCTGGCCGCCGTGACGTGACGCAGCAGAGCTAGGCTCCGCGTGGGAGCGCGCGTGCTCGCTGCACTGACTGGGGGAGGGCAGCCTGAGGTGGGGGAAACGTGATTGAAATTGACCATGACGGAGGAGGGAGGCAGAGAGGGCAGCTCTCGGAGGCCCAGCCCAGCCCGAGACCGTGTCAGATAGAGGGTTGAGTTGGAGGTCAGGGAAGGCCAGGCCGGTCTTTGCCCACGGCCAGTCCCACCTGCCAGGGGTATCGCGTCATCAGTCTACAAGCGTTTCATTAAGTCAGGCGCCGCCGAGGCTCCACGGGCACTTTTAACAAATGGGGAGGGAATAGAGGCCTAACTCGGAACCTTCTGGCAACGGCCCGGAGTGGGGGAGGGGCTTTCCCTAACTGGTCTCCCAGCGGACTCTGGATGGCAAGTTGAATCAGAAACCCTGGTTTTCCCCAATAACCTCCAACCTGATCCCAGTGTAATAATAATCATAAAAATAGCTAATAGCACTTAGGGCTGTAAGGATTGGGAAGCTCTTTACTAAAATTATTTCACCCTTACAACAAGGAAGGGGTGGGTTCTATTTTTACCCCCACTTTACAAATGAGGAAACTGAGGCAGACAAAAGTTAAGTAACCTGAATAGGGATACACAGCCAAGTAAGCTTCTGAGATTGGATTTGAACTCCTGCCCTCTAGTCCCAGGTCAAGTGTTTTCTCTACCTGCTGTACCACCTGTGTGCAAAACTGCAGCTGTTCTTCCTGAGCCTCTAGGAGCTCTGGCTGCCAGCCTGCTCTGGCTGCCAGCCTGTACTGGCTCTCTAGGAGGAGAGTGTGTGGAAAAGATTTAAGACATTGTAATGAAAAGGGGGCAAGCCAATGGTAGACTGAAGAATAAGAGTGGATCATTGGACCCTAGATTTAGAGCTGGAAGAGGCCTCAGATTATGTGATCCAAGACCCTCATTTCAGAGGGTAGGTGACTTGCCCAAGGCCACATAGGTAGTAAGCAACAAAGGCTGGATTTGAACTCAGGTCCTAGTAGTCCAAGCTCTCTTTGGTATGCCTGGATGCCCTCTGCCTCATCCTAATAGAAGAAAAATACACACACACACACACACACACACACACACACACGAAATATGTTCAAAAAATATATACAAAGCTGATACAAAGTAAACTTGAGGGTGAAGGCTGGGAGATCAAGAGGAGGTATGAGCTCTTGAGCTGAGGCTGGAAGGAAACCAGAGATTCCAAAAGGCAGAAGTGTATGAATAAACAAACACTTATGAAGAGTTTATAGGTACAAAGCACAGGCTCTGGGGAGAGGATTCCAGGCCTGTAGAGCACCCAAATGGGACATAGCAGATAGTCTCTGTCGACTGCATGGAGGAGAGATGCAAGATGGTGGTTTATAGGCATCTGCTGAGGGTTTTCTCAGGATGGGAAGACTTGAGTGTATAGACAGCAGAGAAGGAACCAGTGGATAGGGCTAGTTGAAGACAAGAGAGAGCTAGGTACCATCTATTGGAACAGACGGGATGGGATGGTAGCAACACATGTAAAGAGAGTGGAGTAACGGGAAGATGGTGGGAGGTGATGTCAGAGGAGTGTGAGGTGACCTGGATTTTTCTCAGGTCCTCAGCTAGTTGGGGGGAGTGCTATTGGTGGCTTGAATTGGGTCACAGATTTGGGAGGAGAAGGGGTCTTAAAAAACATGCATCATTTTACAAATGACACAAACCAAGATCATGTGAACTGCCCAGGTTCACACAGCCTGAAAGCATCTGGGGTGGCATTTTCACCCAGGCCTTCCTGAGTCCACATTTAGGGTCCCATCCACTCTCACTCTGCTGCTGCTCGGCTATGAGAAGAGGTTTAGAACATGGTCAGTATTGTGGTCAGTGGGATAGAGAATCGGTTAGCTGGGAGGTAAAGGATTGCCTTGTTTCAGTGAGGGCCCACTTGAGATAAGATAACACAAATTTGTAATGGACCCATTTAACCTCTTGTTGAAAAGATTAAAAAGGGAAAAAAAAAGCTAAGCAAAACCAGCCTACATGTGGACTGGGTCTGACAGGATTTGGAACATTCCACACCTGTCGTCCCCTACCTGTGCTAAGAATGGTGGAACTTCACCCTTCCTGGACCAATCTGGGCTGTTGAAATGTCCCCATATACCCTTTTGTCTCGTTTTTCTCATGTCCATTGTGGTAGACATCATGAGTACTGTCTTGCTAATTCTCCTGATTTCTCTCTGTGTCAGTTCACGGAAGAGAAAGTAGCTGGTATGAGGCACTGAATTGAACCTTGGCTTCTGTCCCACTTTAGACACTTGCTAGCTGACTGATCCCAGGCAAGTCACAGTTTTCACAGTTTATTCATCTGTAAGATGTGAGGTTGGCCACCATGGCCTCCAAACTAGTGTTCCTGAGACACATTCTTCTCTGTGGTCTTCAAGTATGGCAAGGGTTACAAAATAAATACAAGTCCTCATTCCCTATGTTGTGCTTGGGAAGTAGATGATACATGTGAAACTTGAAAAGTAATTGTATAAGAAAGTCTAACCAAGTGTTGAAAGGCACAGAGGGACAGCATTGTATAGTATAAAGAACTTGGCAGTCTGGCCCCACCTGGGCCTCAGTTTCTTCATTTGCAAAATATGGGGGTTGGATGACATGATGCTCAAGGCCACTCCCAGTTCTGGAGCCAGGAGCCTGATCCTTTTTCTGACCTTGAGTTTTCATCCGTGTAAATTGGGAATTATGGTATCCTACCTATTCCACAGAAGGTTTACAAGGAAATTACTTTGTAAACTGTCGCATTCTATAAAAAGGCAAGAAATTATTTTATCAATGAGAAGTTAATTTTCTTAGTGTGACATATGGGCTGTCACAGTTCAGAGATGACATTGGTGTAGACAGCAGTGCTCCAGGAAGGTTTCATAGAGAAGATGAGACTGAAGTTTGGGTTTTCAAAATGTTGGGTAAGGCTGGAACAGATGGAGGGGAAGGAGAGGCATGGGTTGGGGGGCGGTCCAAGCAGTGATCAGAGTGGGGAGCAGCTCTGCTGGGGGCTCAGCAGAGTGAATGGAAGGGGCTGAGTAGTGGAAGTTCAGGTGGGGGTCAAATGGTGATCAGGGTGGGAAGCAGCTCTGCTGAGGGGCAGCAGGAGTGAATGGACGGAAGGGGATGGACGTTGGTGGGGGGGGTGAGAACCTTGTGGACTTGATGCTGTCTGCAGGCCATTGGAGGTCAGTCCTGAAAAGTTCTGCAGTGGACAAGGAGAGCCTAGAATAATCTCGAAATGAAGACCTGGTGATTTCCTCAGAGTGGGTCCTCCCCTTGGGTATTCGGCAGATGTTATTTGGGTTGCTGTGATTTTAAAAATAACTGCATGGGCTCATTGGTAGAAATAAGAAAGGTAGGGGAAAGAGTCAGCTTTGAGGGCAGGATGGTGTGTCCCATTTGGGGTCTGTCTTGTTTGAAGGGTTGGTTCAGTAGAGGAGCAGAGATAAGCAGCCTTGTGGCAAGCTCAGACATGCTGCCATGTCTTTCTAGCTTGGAAGAACCCACCGGAATGATTATCGCTCCTGCTGGCATTCTCGTGTGGGAAGCCCAGAGGACATCAGGGCAGGCATGTTTGAGGGGTGCAAGAATAGCTGTCCTATGGGGCAGCAAGGTGGTGCAGTGGATAGAGCACCAGCCCTGGAGTCAGGAGGATCGGAGTTCAAATCTGGCCTCAGACACTTGACACTAGCTGTGTGACCCTGGGCAAGTCACTTACCTTAATTGCCTTGAAACACTTCCCCCCCCCTCAAAAAAAATAGCTTTTGTCGATGTTGTTTGTATAGCTTGGTGTAAAGTGTATGGAAATGGAAATCCAGTTCATTTGAAGTGGGACCTCCATATAAGCCCTGGTCTGATGCTTTCTCATGCCATGGAGATAGGTCTGTGAGGACCCTGGCTTCTCAGGGACATGCCAGTGAAACCCAAGCTCTGAGAGCTCTTAGCAAGATGGCGAGAGTTTGAATGAGGCTTGGCAGCAGAGCCAGCCTGGCTAAGTTTGGAAGGAGGCTCACCAGACTGGGCCACCAGGTGGGGGGCACCAGTGTTTTTGGCCACACTTTGTGAAACTGCCGATGAAGGTGTGTAGCAGCATTGGTTTTGCATTGGTAGTCGTTGGGTGCATTGAACTTGAACTCTAGATGAGGAAGCTGTGGTGGGGTCCCTCAAAGTCGCTGAGCCACCAGTACTGGAACGGAGGCTTAGCCGTGGGTTCCTTTTTCTCTGCCATGTTGTCTCTGGCAGTGTGAGGCGGGCAGATTAGTTAGAAGGCTATTTGTGGCAGTAGTCCAGATGTGAAGGGATAAGGATCTTCAGGTTAGGCGGGTGGCAGTGGGAGGGGGAAGGACCATCCAGAGAGCTGCAGGAGAGGATTCTTATTTTAAGATAGCTTTATACATTGATTTCTGAACATGTTCACACACACCACCCCTCCCCCATGCAGCCAGCCTTATTTCACGGAACAAAGATGAAGAAAGAAAGAAAAAGTTCCACAAAGCTGACCACCATGTGACCGTCTGATAGTCTGCGCCTCCCGCCTGTGCAGGGAAGGGAGGGAGAAAAACAAGTCTGAGGTCAAGGTGGCGTGTTCAGGTTTAGGTACGTCCTCCAAGTAAAAGCGACTGAAGATAAACACAGGGAAGTCGCCTGTAGTGGAAGCTACAGGAGTAAATGAGTTCTTTAAGGGCACATTAGGAGAGAGGGAGAGAAGTGTAGGCCCAAGGAGTCAGCCTTGAAGAAAATCCTCAGTCAAGAGGCAAGATGAACAGGAGGAACCCGCAGAGGGGGCACCAGGCGGTGTAATGGGCCCAAAGCCAGCTGAGGAGAAGGGCATGGTCTCTCAGGGTGGAATGCCCTCTTGGGGTCAGGAGGAAGCACTGGAGTTGTCCAGAGCGCCGTCCTTAGTGACACCTGGGAGAGTTGCTGCAGTTAGAGTGGTGAGAATGGAAGTCGGGGTGTGAGGCAGAGAATGGGAGGGAAAGGAAGGGGTTGGGACAGGGACAGACTCACCACGTGCAGAGGTGTGACTAGGGCAATGTGGAGGAGAAGGGCTGGTGATGGGAAAATACCTGTGTATGTTTGAAGGGCAGGGAGCTGGTGGGGAAAGAGATTGGAGATGCTTGAAAGGAGGGATGACTGGGAAGGAATTCCAGCCCACGTGGAGGGGTTGGATTTACTAAGGGCAGTGAGGAGCTTGGCATTAAGGTAGGTGGTGAGGTAATCTGCCTCATGTAGAATGGGGCAGTGGGGGCTTAAGGGGAGAGAAGATCTAGAATGGGCCTTTTGTGCACTACAAGAGAAGCAGCAGGATTAGCGGACCCCTGCTGTGACAGTGGGGTGGATACGGGAGGGCTGTACCCAGCCTGGGAGCAGGAACAGAAAAAAGAGATTATGGGATGCTGCCATTTCCAGCCCTGGATCAGTGGGCATGGTGAAAGGGGACAGGAAGTCAAAGGCAGAAAGTGGCCAGTTAAGAACTAAACCACTGTGCCCAAGGCACTGTGCTAGGCGGGGTCAGAGAAATTCAGAGCTGAATAAGAGAGTGGAACCTCTTATTCAGGGGAGATAATGCATCTTCACAAATCCTACCTAAAACAGATATAGAATGTGACTTAAGGTTGGAGGAAAGATTCTTTCCAACTGGGGTGAGGGAGTATATCAGGGAAGCCTTCGTGGAGGAAGAGATACTGAATTTCATCAAGGTAGGCAGGGCAGGGGCAAGATACTGTGGACATAAGGAATAGCTAAGGCATGGAGGCAGAAAAATATGAGATAGGGTGAAGAGTTAATGTAGCCGAGAGTGGGTGATGGGAATGTGAAAGAAGATTGCAAGAGTTAGGTGGCACCAGAGGAGGGATGAATGAGCTGATAGGTAGGAAGTCATGGTTTGGGAGGGGGCCCTCTGAGGTCAGTGCCATGCTGTGCCCAGGAAAGATGCCAGGTGCTGCAGAGCTGATGATAAAAATGATACCTTCCCTGCCCTCAGGGAGCCTTATGTCCTACTGACCCTCCAGTGACCTGGCTGGCAGATAGCTGGTAGCCGGTAGAGATAAAAGAAAGGCAGGAAAAGGGAGTGATTGAAAAGTCAGAGTGTGGGTCAACGGCAATGAAGAGTGGAGAACAGAGGCTCCTTGAGGGCAGGGACGTATTCCTGGTGGTGGTGTCTTGGTAGCCCTAGAGTCCAAGCACACTGTAAATGCTTTTTGTTTTGTTTTGTTTTGTTTTTGGTTGGGCAATGGGGGTTAAGTGACTTGCCCAGGGTCACACAGCTAGTAGGTGTTATATATCTGAGGCTGGATTTGAACTCAGGTCCTCCTGAATCCAGGGCTGGTGCTGTATCCACTGCGCCGCCTAGCTGCCCCCACACTGTAAATGCTTAAATATTTGCAGACTTGAGGTTGCTGGGATTCTAGTTTAGGACAGAGTAAAAGGTACAGGCATCAAGAGAAGCTGGGATTGGGGGTCAGGGAGAGGCTTTCTGAGGGTGAGAACATAAATTGCAGGCTTCAGGTGTAAGGAACCAGAGAAAAGATGGTGCTTGAATCTTGGGGAGACTGCCCTAGAATAGGGAGGGGGGCAGAAGAAGGGAGCACCAGGCCCACCCTCACCCCTGTTGAGCTGGGGCCACAGATACCCTTTACAGATATGGGCAGTAGGCAATGCATTACCTTCATGAGAAAGCCGAGGCTCTAGGGAAACAACTCCCATCCTCACGCATCCCAGACCTGGCCCCTGAGAGGTTCACAGTGGGACTCCCGAAGTCTAGTGTCTGGGTTTTGTGCCTGGGGTCATGTCCCCAGGTAAAATTGGTGAAGCAGGTGAAGCTTGACCCCTTCCCAGCTGCCTCTTTAGCAGCTCCCCTTTCCCCCACCACGGAAGCGTTGCATCTTTGTTATCCAGCCTGCTGTTGGGGCGTCCCTTTGTCCCTCTGTGTGGGCAGTCGTCCACTCAGGTGCCGAGCGTGACTCCGTGTGTCCCCAACTCCTCGTCCTTCAGACGCTGAAACGGAAGGAGAAGGAGTACGAACATGAGATGGAGCGGCTGGCCCGGGAGAAGATCGCCACACAGCAGCAGCTGACAGAGCTGAAGCGCGAGCTGAGCCAGTGGATGGACGCGCTGGAGATGGAGCGGGTGCTGCGGCAGGCAGGGCAGCCCGAGGACGACCAGGCCTCCACCTCCACTGCGTCAGGTACCCTTGCCCATGCCCATCCCCCGGCCCCCCACTCTGGGGCTCCAGTGTCCCCTCTGGCCTCCCTTCTCCTCCAAGACAGCCTTAGTTTTCTTGCTGCCCCCTGACCCTGTTCCCTTCTCCTTCTCTCTTCCTCTCCTGGCCTGTCCACTGCCCCCTAACAGAAGGCGAGGACAACATAGATGAAGACATGGAGGATGACCGGTCAGCCGTGGGGCTGCCCAGGCTGAGCCAGCGGCCACAACCTGAGCTCCTGAAACCAGCTCCCCTGCCTCCTGGCACGGCCCCTGCTGCTCCGGCCCCTCCCTCCCACCCTGCGGCTCTGCAGCAGAAGCCCCCCCCTGCAGCAGCAGCCGCCCAGACCCTGGTGCCAGCCCCCGCCCACCTCGTGGCCACGGCGGGAGGGGGCTCGACGGTCATCGCTCACACGGCCACCACCCACGCCTCAGTCATCCAGACTGTGAACCATGTGCTTCAGGGCCCGGGGGGCAAGCACATTGCCCACATCGCCCCCTCGGCCCCCAGCCCCGTGCAGCTGGCGCCCGCCACACCCCCCATTGGCCACATTACTGTCCACCCTGCGGCCCTCAACCACGTGGCCCACCTGGGCTCCCAGCTGCCCCTGTACCCACAGCCGGTGGCCGTGAGCCACATCGCCCACACCCTCTCCCACCAGCAAGTCAATGGCACGGGTGGTCTGGGGCCGCCAGCCACGGTCATGGCCAAGCCGGCTGTGGGTGCCCAGGTGGTCCATCACCCTCAGCTAGTGGGCCAGACGGTCCTAAATCCAGTGACCATGGTCACCATGCCATCCTTCCCCGTCAGCACCCTGAAGCTGGCCTGAAGGGGGTGCCACTTGGAGGTCCCTGGCACCACCCCCACCAAGCAGCTCCTCACATTCCAGCCCGGCTCCCTCCCCTGCCCTCAGGAGAAGGGCAGAGTGCAGAGACTAAGCCCAGAGGGAGAAGAGAAAGGATGGGGGCAGGCCCTGCTCCCGACTCTGAGCTGGGCCAGAAGGGCACCGGGGAAAAGGCCTGGCCCTGCTGCATTTGGACTTGACAAAAAACCCAAGAGACACTTTGGTGAGCGTGGTCCCTGTGGCTCTGGTGGCTGCCTCGATTTCCGTTCTCGTCCCATTCTGTCCCTGCCTCGCCTCCCCTCGGTGTAATCAGTGAGCTGTGGATGTGATGTACTTGGTTTTCGTCCCTTGTCCCTCCCTCTTTCCCGTCCCCCCTCATGTGCTGCTGATGCTGCTATTGCTCTGGAGGGTGAGGCGGCTGAGCTCTGGGGGCCCTCCCCCCCCCACCCCCCGGGGGGGGGCTCTCTAGCCAGGCCTGGGCCAGGGTTGTGCTGTGGAGGTCATTTTGTCCAGATAACCATTACGTGGAGATCTGGGGTGGGGGCTGCTGTGAACACAGTGATGGGAAGCAGACGGTTCAGTGGGCCAGAGGAGCTGGGTGGGATATGGGCCCCAATATCTGGGGGTGCCCCCAACACCCTTTCCCTCAGCCCACACTACAGTCTGATTGATCCATCTGAGGTCACTGTGATTTGTTACAGTAGAAACTATTTAAGACAATTCTCTACTAATAATAAACCAAATGAAAGAGAAAACCAGGGAGATTCCCGTGGGGGTTTATTGCTGGTGTGTTCTTCTGCCCCCCACTCCACTTCCCAAACCCCTGACCCCTGCTCTTGAGGAAGATACAGTGACTGACTGACCTTAGGATGCCAGACTGACTTGGGGTCTCTGGGGTGGGCCCTGTATAGTCCCTATGGATCTGGGCCTCCCTAGCCCTGGTGTGGGTGGAGATTCAGAGATACAGCCCGAGAGCTCGTCCCTGGACCTGGATCCTTCCCTTCTCTCCGGTCTCCTCTGGGCCCTCTCCCCCAGACAGATCCTTTCAGGGATAGGGAAGAGAGAAGGAGCATGGGAGGAGGGAGGCCAGGGTCTGGATCCACAGCTGGGAGTGAAGAGGCTCCGCACCTCCCGAGTCCCCTCTCCTTCCCTCTGCTCCGATATGTGCAGTTGTAACTGGTGGACACGTGTGCATGTGTGTGTCTGTGCATGCTCAGTCTGTGTGCATATGTCCGTGTGCAGGTATGCGTGTGTGTTTCTTGGTGCTCCCCCTCCCCCGCATTGAATTTGAGGAAGGGCTTTGTGGTTTGGGTTCTGGGGTCCTGGGGTCCTAGATTCTTCTCTGGGCTGAGTTTAGGAGACCCTTTGGCCAGATGGTGACGACCATGGGGAGGTGACGCTGCAATGATGACCCCACTCCCAGCTCTTACATAGGTGCAAGAGTCCTAGGTCCTGGGAAGGACTGGGGATCACATCAGAAACTGGCCTTTTTGACATTAAGACTAAATAATGGGCAGTGACTGTAGCCTGGACCCTCCGTTTCCTTCTCTGGTTCTCCTCTTGTACCTTCCTGCACCCTGCTTTCTTTCACCTCTCTGGTTTACTTTTGATGCTTCGGACTGAGCCTGGGGAACAGTCACTTTAGCATCCTGCTGCCTCAGTTTCTCCCTGAGGATGGCTCTCAGGCATTCCTCCAGAGGGGAAAGAAGGGGAAAGAGCTTGCCCAGACCTCTGCCCTGTCCCCCCCAACCCCAGCTCCCAAAGAGCTAGGGCTAGGAATGGGGCTTAGGATGGGGGAGGGAGGGGCCTGCTTCCCCCAGCCCTCCCCACTAGTGAGTCTACCTTGGACTAGCTTTGGTTTCTCGTCTCTTTTCACATAGTTATTACAAGTGACCTTGTGTAAAACACATGCGCATACATGTACACTCAGATACCCATTTAGGCACATCTATATTCATATACTAGTTGCCTTCATGGGAGCTGTTTGGCAAGGTATCCTAAGGATAGAGTCCAGCACCAGGCATGTGCCCTTGGGGAGAAGGCACTGTAGGGAGGCCTTAGGCCCCCTACGTTTTATGGAGGCTGTGTTGGCTAGGTATGGTGTCTTGGGTGTCAGGTCAGAAGAATGGGCAATGCAATCACCTCAAAGACCCCAAAGTGGATCTGCCTGGAAGGCAGCCCTAATTGCTTCCAGACCCCCTTTCAGTTCCCTCTTTGGACTGGGAGATTTTAGGCAGTTCCTTCCTCTGCCTTTTGGGGAATGTACAGGCAGGCCGTTCCATTCAGTGCCTGGCCTTGGGAGAGAGGCTGGCCTAGATGGTACCAGCACACATTACTCATGCCCAGCTTCCCTCCTGGCTGTAGCCTCCGCCCGGTGGCCTCCACCCCGAGTCCTTAGCTCCACTTTGTCCTCTGTGGGGCAGCCTTGTAGGCAGTAGGCCCTTGGGGGCGGGGCGGGGCAGGGTGGGAGGGTATGGAGGCAGAGGTGGCTCTGTCGAGAGAGTTGGATGGGGAGACTTGGCTCTCCGGCCTCTCCTCTCCTCCTTCCCTTCCCCCTCTGTCAGCCATGTCAGCCACGCCAGCCACGCAGCACTCATGGCCAGACGAGAATGGAATCGAAATTGTGCCTCCCCCCACTCTCTGGGGTTTGTGCCCAGATACTTATCCAGCCCGCAAGGCACTTGGGGCGGGCGGGGGTCTGTGTCGTGCCAACTGTGTCCTGAGTGGCTCTGGTGGGTGTCCTTGGTGTTGTGTTCTGTTGTTTCCTGGTGAACGCTGTGATGCTGTACCACTGGGGGCTGTTGTCCCCCTGCTTCCCCAGCCTCATCCTTGTGGAGTATCTCCTTCAGCAGCCACCAGGCCTAGCCCTGGCCCTCCCCGCCCCACCCTTGGGGATACTGAGCCCTGCCTTTCTCCCCAGACCTTCTGACTTGGGACACACACACATACACACTCACACAGACGCCCACAGACACTCACACATCTTACCTCTCATGCTTATTTTATTTTTTTATGTTCTCTAAGTGACTCACTGGCTGGGAGTCTTTACCTCGATGGGCTCGGGTCCTCAGGGGGCTGGGGAGGAGGGGCCAGTGGGCAGGGTGAGCACAGTGGGGTGCTTTGGGGGCCACACTTAGGCCCTGCCCTCTCCAGGATGAGCCCCCCGTCCCTCCTCAGGGTGCACCCCCCCTCCCCAAAGAGGTGGCCCTTGTTTACAGTGAGGACTCGGTCACTGTGTCTCTGTTTCCGGATATCTGAACCCTCAAGACCCCGGACTGTAGAGATTTTTATGTGTTTGGATACATCTGCTGTGTGAAAAAAATCAAACAAAAAAACCCTACAAAAACCCTAATTTTGTACATATTGTATTTTTACTATTGAGCTGTATTCTAGTGGCTGTTCATGCTCTAAGACTTTAGGTATCGGGACATGAATACTCCCCATGTAAAAGCACTTGCCTGGAATAAAACAATGAAACAAATAAACCTGCACTGAAACGTGAGTTGGGGGCTTGCAGACACCCCATTTTATTGGGGGTGGGAGTGGGGGACCAGACACCCAGAGCCAGAGATATGGAAGCAGAGGGAGTGAACCCTTCATTCACTTTTCATATCATTGACCTGGCCACGGCCCGACTAGAAATTGCTTTCAGGGCTCTCTGGGCTGGCCACGTGGTATAGCAATGAGTGCTGAGTTTGGGCATACACAACCTGGGTTGGAATCCTTATGTCGTCATTTACCATCTGTTCGACTTTGGGCAAATCACTGCTTCACTGGTCCTTGGTGTCCTCGTCTGTAAAACAAAGATTGGCCTAGAGGTTGTTCTTGAGTCATTTCAGTTGTGTCTGACTCTTTGTGAGTCCATTTGGGGTTTTCTTGGCAAAAATACTAGAGTGGTTTGCCATTTCCTTCTCTAGCTTATTTTACAGATGAGGAGACTGAGGCAAAGAGGGTTAAATGACTTGCCCAGGGTCACACAGCTAGTAAGTGTATGAGGCTGGATTGGAACTCAGATCTTGACTCTGGGACCTGCCTAGCTGCCCTGGCCTAGATAACTGGCTCTAAATCTAAAGGTTCACTGCCCTCCCCACCCCAGCACTTGAATGCACACCCCCAGCCACAGTTGTCACTCCTTTCCACATCTACGTTGTTTTAGGATTTTTCAAAGGCACATTTCACCCATTATCCTCATGAATTGGAAGGAGTTTATGTGACCTGCTGGGGTATTGCAAGCTCAGTAAATAGCAGTAACTGGGAATGGAACCCAGGTTTCCTGACTCCAGCATCCTGCCTTGGGTTATAAGGAAAGTGTTTTGTAAACCTTAGGGATCGGGTTAGGAACCAGACCTGGGATTTCATTGGCATAGAGAAATTCCAAGTGAGGAAGCTCTATCTAGCAATGCAGTTTAGTGCTTGTTCTGCAACACAGAGTCCTGGTTGCCAAAGCGTCTGGTTAAGTGACTTGGCCAGGCTCATACAGTTAGCTTGTGTCAGAAGGCAGGACTTGAAACCAGGTCTTCCTGGTTTTGAGAAAACCTTAAAACATAACATGTGAGTGCCTGTTGTCTTGTATGATCTTTTTAAACACCCTTTTAAGCAGACCAGCAGGTATTCCCTTTGTTAGAAGAGGAAACTCTAGGGTCCAAAAGGTAGGTACCATGGCCATTCAGCAACAGGGCTGGGACTAGAATCAAAATGTCTGAATTCTCTTTCCTTGGTATCATCTTAACCATATTTTTCATGGAGCTGGCTACCCTCGATCTTAAGACTTCCTCAACCAAGCAGAGACAACTCTGGTTTGATAGTTGTAAGTGAGGAAGATTGAGAATTGGCCCAGACACTTCTTTATCCATGGAGGGATTAAAAGGTATCCTTGAGTTTGAGGGTAAGGAAAGGAAGACTTGAAGTGAAGAGGTGAGAAGAAGATGGATCTGATGGAAATCTTTAAGTCACAAATATTCTTGATTGCTTCTAAGTGAATGGGGCTGAGGTGGGAAAATAATGTCAATTCTTCAGGGTTATAATGAAAAGATAATATCCTCAGCTCACCATCTGCCTTCAGGGGTGTAACTAGGGCAGACCTTCAGAGCTTTGCCCCAAGGTGGAAAATTTAGAGGGCATCACCAGCACTCTCCCCACGTGTCCAAGGGGCAGGTGGCCTCAACCTGGGACATGTTTCCCTCTTCAAGAGCCTAGAAAACTCCTGGTATCTCAGGGCAGATTTCCTCCCCCTGGGCTACACCCCTGGTGAGCGAGTTGTTCCTCTCAGCCCCTCCCAAGTTAAAAAATTATGAGTTAGCTGTTTTGTCTCCCCACTGAGGTCAGTGGGAGAGTCTGAGAGAAAATATCCTGGGTGGTTTTCTGCAGGTCACCCTAGTTCTCTGAACCCAGGAATGGGGAGTCGGGACCCCTGTGGCATTTCTGCAGCTGTGGGACAGGATGATTCTGAGAGGTGGTTGCATATGTGGGTTGCTTTCACCCGCCCCCAGCCAATTCCCCACAGGTCTGGTATAAACCAGCTGACTCAGAAGCTTGGGGAAGGTGGTGGGTCTGTGGCTTGAATCTCAGCATTAGAGGTGGGGAAGATGTCAAGGGAAATATTGGGTGTCATAAGGGAGGGGATATTCTGGTTGCATATCACCCTGAACTGAATCCCGAACTTCCAGACACCGATTGTGCTCTCGTTTCTGTGCTGATAGAGAGATTGGCCATCTTGGGGCCCCGGCCAGACTTTACTCTCCTGTCCCATCCTACTTCTCACATCTCTCCCCACCCCTTTGAGAAACCAAAACTAAAACCTAAAGGTAAAACAATACCAAAAGATTTAGTCCTCCATCTCACGTCTGGGCGCCAAGGACTATGCCCATTTATGAGATACTGTCTCCCCCTATCGACAGTTTTTAGAACTACAAAGCCACTTCACAGGCCTGGGGGGCCTTCAGAGAATGGTTCCCAAGTAGAGCTTTTCCTAGTAAGACTCTTCTTTTTTGATCAGCTGAGCTGGGGAAGGGGGCTAGTATGTCAGAACTTGAAGGAGTTTTTAGGGGTCTTCTAGCTCAGCTCCATACTTTCATAGATAGGGAAACTGAGCCCTGCAAACCTGCTGGGGATGTTCTGGAAGACATTTCTCTTCTGTCCCTTCACCACTGATGATAGTGGAAGTCAAGGGTTGTTGACAACCTACTGAGGACCTGGGAAGGCCCAAAAAAACTTTTAACCCAGGTATGGGGCCAGATTATCAAAAGAAATAATGGTAGAGAAATTAAGGATGAATTTCTGGTCAATATGCTAGAGTCAAAACTAGTACTCCCTGTACCTGTGGCAAGTAGCAGCAGTACTATATATGCCCTCAGGTATTTGCAGAGATCACTTTGAGTAGGGCCTTTGGGGGGGGGGACTAAGATGCTGACTGGGGGAACAGCTGGTAGTTTCCTGGCTCACCTAATTACTTTGTCTGCCTGCCCTGGTTATGGCTGTGCTGAATATAGCCATGGTGTTAGGACCAAAAAACTCACTTTGCCACAAAACCTTTATTCCTCTCCCCCCACCTCGCAAGCCCGATCATTGTACTGAAAAGCTTGGGTAGCAGAGGAAAGAAGCAACGAGCACCATAACCACTGTGCACTTTGAGGAAAGACATTTTGGTGCATTAGAAAGAGCCCTAGCTTTAGACACAGAGGAGCTGGGTTCAAATCCTGCCTTGATCATTTACTATGTATATAACTTTGGGCAAGTCATCTCTTGACCTCAGTTTCCTCATCTGTAAAATGAGGGGGTTGGACAAGGTGGCTTCTGAGGTCTCTTACAGCTCTACAGTTTTTTATAATCCCAGTGTCTTCAAAAGGTTTTCTTCTTCCTCTTTCCTTCCTTCCTTCCTCTTTCTTTTCTTTCTCTTTCTTTCTTTCTTTCTTTCTTTCTTTCTTCCTTTCTTTCTTTCTTTCTTTCTTTCTTTCTTTTCTGTTTCTTTCTTTCTTTCTTTCTTTCTTTCTTTCTTTCTTTCTTTCTTTCTTTCTTCTTCTTTCTTTCTTTCTTTCTTTCTTTCTTTCTTTCTTTCTTTCTTTCTTTCTCTTCTTTCTTTCTTTCTTTCTTTCTTTCTTTCTCATCTTATGTGAACCTCACAACAAGCCATGAGGGAGATGTTATAAACATCAATTACAAATTGCTCTTCCCCCCTCCGCCCTCTCCTCCACCACTCAGAGATCTAACATCTTCCTGAAACAAACATTTGGGCTCTCCTTTAAAATTCAGGAATTATAACCCAGAGGGGCTGGAGAAGTAGACGGAAGGAGCCCTCAGCATCAAGTGGAGGAGGAAATGGTATTTGACAAGGTTTTAAGCTCACTGGTGAATTTTTGGGATTTCCACAGTGGATTTCTTACAGGCCAGCACTAATTTCCAGTACTGGGGTTACAACTTCTCCAATCTTTTAAGCATCTATTAAGCACTTACTGTGTAGGTAGCCATGTGGCATTGAGGCTAGATGGCAAATCACTTATGCTCTAAGCAACTAAGGTTATTAGTTGCAGAGCAGGTGCTGATATCTGCATTGGTAAGGGGAGTTTCCACACTGGGAGTTCCTGAAATCCCAGCTATGGTCCAAAATTAAAAATGTGCAAGAAGTGTTGTTCTGATGTTTAGGGGCAGCTAATTCCAATTCTGGGGCTAAGGAGATAGTGGACAGTGAACATAGAGACTAGTTCCCCTGCCAAGGTTGCAGACTGTGATGGGTTTCTCATTCCCCTGGTCCCTTTGTCCCCCCTCCCCAGTTCACCCCTTCCTCTTGTCACTAGGAGCTTTGAAGAGTGTGTCATGGGGTTAATTCCTTGGTACAAATCCCTTCCCTCCTAGCCTGCTTTCCTGGGGCTTTGGACTCTGCCTGAATTAGGGAGGGCTTGCCATCTGACAAATCCAGGTCTATATTAGGATTGAAAACTTATTTCTGAGTGCCAAGGTAGCACTGATGGTTGGTCCGCCAGCTGGTGGGAGAGGAGGCTCCTGGATGACAGCTCCAAAATTTATCCTAGTCAGTAGCTCTGTCCCCTTTGTCCGGGGCAGGCTGACCCGAATAATGTGGGATGAGTGTGTATGAATGCATCCAGATTTGTGCAAGGTCCAGAAGGTGTAGCTTGGCTCAGACTCCCCCCTCCCCTCTCCCAGCACTACTTGAATGGTAGGCCTGGAGCCAATCCCCTGGATGTATTTCTGGATTCTCCAGCGGATATTTCTGAGATCTCAAACTGGAAAAGATTTCAAAGGGTACTTCAAAAATGAAGTCCAGAGAGGTTATGACTTGCCCTAGGCCACACAGGAAGTAAGTGGACAGGTCCAGTGATGCCAAGTTCAACACTCTTCACAACACTGCCTCTTCAAGGTCTTGTGACCTGAAATTACCCTTATGCTCACCTTCCATCTCTTCCAAGGAAAGACTGGCACACTTCCTCAAGCTGAGGATACCCTGGCTCTCTCCCTTGGGCTTCTGAGTTTGTAAAATCCTTCCTTTGCTCAATTTCCTAGTCAGCCCCTCCACCCACCCCAGCTCATGCCACTCCCCAATCCATTGATCACAGAGAGCCCCCGGACTCACCAGCTGTCACCAAACTCAGTGTTTATTGGTTTTGTTACAATGGACAGCATTAGAATATCTGAGCCAGGGGAAAAAAAGGGAACCAACCAAGCAACCTTCCCGCTCCTCACAAACACCAGTCACTAAGGCAGGCGCGTGGCAGCACATGCGGCATCATGGCTGTGCCACCCACACATCCAGCAGGAGCTGTGGGGCCCACGGCACACAAGGGGATGAGGGGGCAGACAGGCCCCCAAACAGGCAGTGCAGATTCTGGGGGCAGAGGAGGAGGGTCAGGCCAGGGATAGCATTCTTCTCCCAAGACAAAGGTATCTCCCCTTTTTTCTAGTAAATGACACAGCAGGCCCACAGAGGAACTCCAGAAGGCCCCAAATGGCAAGTGCACCCTCACTATGCCCCTCTCACCTAACAGGACCTACCTGGCTCCTGCAGGTGGGGGGAGGATGGAGAAGGAGGAAACTGGGTACAGAATAACAGTAAGCATGCTAAGGGCAGGGAGGCCCTTCCTGGACTTCCTCCAGAGGGCAGACTACGATTGGAGGCAGGGGGAGTCTAGCCCCCATCCTATCCCTGGCATTAAGAGATGCTTGATCTGAGGTGGCGTCCTGAGGGAGGGAAGTCCGAGGAGCCCTGCTCACGGTTCTCTACATTCTACAGAATCGGCTGTGTTGGGGGCCAAGATCCAGGTCCCCTCCAAGCCTAGGGCAGTGTTGGCACTTGAGAATACAGAGGACTCCAGGGGTGCCCAGCTATGGGCTCTGGCCTCAGCTAGTTAGTCAGAGCCTTAGAAAGGCTCTGATACATAGAGGCAATCTCCCTCATTCCCCTTCCCATTCCCTCACCTTAGGGGTGATCCAGCCATGCCCTTAGAGCTTCTCTGCCTCCCTACCTCCCCCTCCCCCTATGCCTTGGCCAAGCAGCAGCAAAGTCAAGGGAGAGCAGTGAGGTTAGGTGGAAAGATCCAGCATCCTGGTACGACTCCATGGGGATGTTCTGGAGTGGGGCTCAAGGGGAGCAAGGAGGCACCTGTGGGCACTGGGACAACAGCCTAGGCTTCTTTGGAGCTCCAGGGGGAGGGTCCCTGAGAGGGGTGGGCTCCCACCTCTTGTGCCTTCTCCATACAGGCAAGTGCTGTTTCAGCAAATCTGACATACAGAAATCTGGATTTACAAGCAGGTTGGGGCTCAAGCTTTTGCTCTTACAAAAGGATTTGCACTAGGAGCCTTTAAGAAATGAGCTCTCCTTAGAGCCTTCAGGAGGATTTGCTTTACATATTTTTCAGGACCACGGACAGCTGAATACGCAAAGGGAGGTACACTTGTACATGTGTGCACACAGGCTGGTGCCTGGAGCAGGTGGTGTGTTGGTGGAGGGATTATAAAAGCAGACAGGCAGTAATGCTGGAGGACCATGGGACAGCTCCAGGCTGTGCCCTGCCCATTCCTCCCTCCCTACCAAATCTTCCCTGCATTAGTGTCTTGGGTCCACAGAAATTCAGGGGACACCCATGAAGGTAGCTCCAGAATTTCTCCCACCCTTAGTCCTCGAGAGCCTTGGTCCAACACCCATCCCTATCGTGGAGCAGGGTATAAGTCTGGCCTCCAGAAAAAGGGGGAGTGTGACCATGCCTAGGAGGGCTCCCCAGCTTCTTTGAAGAGACAAGGAACAGAGGGTATTAGGTAGGGTGTTGCCCCCTGCAGCCTCTAGAGCCATCCTGAAGTTTGGCCTGAATGTCTCTTCTCTCTATCCAGGAGGGGCATCTCAGGCCAGATTCTAAGCCCTGGGAGAGCCATGGGTCTCTATCCCTTTCTATGTGCTAGACCCCTGAGGGCAAGACACCTTTCAAGCAGGATCCCCCTCTAGTGGTCTTACCTGGGGCCTCTGTCTATTCCTAGGGTGACCCCAAAAGGGGTTTCTTTGGGGCTGGGGTGGGAGTTGGAAGGGAGGTAGTTGTCCCAGAGCGTGTCTGTCATAGGCCTGAGACTTCAGGGCCCCAGTGTGGGCTGCCCCCAGCCAAGATCCAGAGAGAGCTCTACACATCTCAGTCACTCCTCCCTCTGTCCCAAAGGCAGGTCCCACAGGCTAGCCCTGGCCCAACCCAAGGGAAGGCCTGGAGTCTCTCGATCTCTTAATCTCTGAATTACTTATTTTTTCTGCATTACATGGAAGATGCCTCAGGAACATGGTCTGGGGTTCAGGTTGGTGGGGAGGGGGAGGGCGCTGATAGTCCCGACAGGGCCACCCTCTCCACTTGCCCTGTGCGGAGGCCTGGAGCTCTCGGGACCCCGAGGTGCCTGGTCGGCCACGGCTGCCTCCTCTTCCACCTTCTCTCACCAAAGCCGCTGCCAGCTTCACTTGTTTTCAATCAGTGTCTGCACTTTGTGGACCAGCTCCCTGGCTATCCTCAGGATCTCCTGGGCATCATGGTGTTCTGCTCGTTCTGCAGGGAGTGCATGCCAACAGGTGGAGGGGGGGGACAGGGCCAGGAAAGCAGCAGCGGATACAAAGCCAAGTTAGGACCCACTGCCCTATCCTCATGTGGCTATTTCTTAGGCCAGGCAGGTGCCAGGGCCGCAGCAGGCTTGGAGACTATCTGCCCTGTCTAGAAGAATATGACATTGAATCTGAATTCCCAGGAAGCTTCCCTGCTTGGGGCCAGCAGTGGGAGGGAGCTGATGGAGCCAGTCGAAGGAACCCTAGATTTAGAGCTGGAACCAGCTGGATCTGTAGTCAAAAGACCTGGGTTCAAAGGTCAGCTCTGTCACTCACGACCTGTATGACTCTGTAAGTCACTTAACCTCTTTGGGCCTCAGTTTCCTCATCTGTAAAATGAGGGGGTTGGACCAGATGGTCACAGAAAGCTCTTGTAACCCTGAGTCCTATAACCTGAGGATGCAGTGACCTCTATAGCCTCTGCTGCCAGCACCCATCTGCTATGCCACCCACAAAAACACACCAGCTATTGCGTCTTGGTGGTCCCCATAGTCCCTGACCGGCTTCATACCATTGAAAAACTTGATAATGTCTGTGAAGTCCATGTTGTTATCTCGAATGATCTCCCGATATCCTTCTACCAGGGCCAAGGCAATGAACAGGACAAAGTGCTCAGAAGAGATGTGTCTGGCAGCCCAGATGACTTCCCACACAGCAAAGACGTCTTCATAGAGCAGCTCTGTAGCGGGGAAGATTGGGGCAAGGCAGATGAGTTACACGTCCCTAAGCCTGAGACATAAGACTACACGGTCCTAGGACCCTGTAAAGAGGCCCAATAGTCAGTAAAGACAATTCTGTGTTCACATCTGAGGCTACCATCAAGTGGGCAATCCCATTTATGCCCTACCAGATCTGTTGAGCAAATAGGGCTCATTGGTGCTTGAAGGAGGCCCTGAATTTCTTGGAAGCTCAGTTCCAAAGAAGCCAGAGTTCTGGCCCTGTGGTACTGGGGAACGAGCACTACTTTTAGGGAAAGAGATCTTAGGGTTTAATTCTGGCTCTGTCACTTCCCTTCACTTTCCTCACCTGTTAAATGAAAGGTGTGAGGGTACACAACTGTGATCCCTGCCGCTGACAGAGAGGCTGAGGTTGGTGAATCATTTGAGTTTGAGAGTTCTGAGCAGCACAAGGGCTAAAGTCGGTTCAGTGTCTGTATTAAGCTGGACACCATTTTGGTGTGCCCTGGCACAGGGGTGGGGTAGGGTGGAAGGATACCAGGCTGCCTAAAGAAAAGTGAACCAGCCCAGATTGGAAAAATGAAGTAGGTTAACCTTTCCATGCCCATCGACATTGGAATCATGCTGCGAATAGCCACTGTACTTCCACCTGGGTGAGAGAGGGCAACTCAGTCTCAAACACACACACAAAAAATGGATGAATGGATAGACTGTCAGACTAACAAACAAATAAAATGAGAGGAACTGACCCATGGACCCCAAAATATTCACTCAGCACTTAATGATAGTAGCAAATAACTAGAAACAAAGTAAATGCCCATTGACTGGAGAATGTGGGCTGTGTATGTAATGAAATACTGCTCTGTAAGGAACAATGAATGTGAAGAATTTGGAGAAGCATGAGAAAACTTAAATGCACTGACGCAAAGTGAAGTAATTAGAACCAGGAAAACGGTATAAATGAAAAGAACAACTACAAGATGGTCAACACTGAAAAGCCGTGGAACTCTAATGACCAACCTTGGCTCCAAAGGAGAGACAGAAGACAGTGCCTCCCTCCTTTCAGACTTTGTGGATGAATTGCTTAGTTTTACTGAACTGTTTTTTTTTCTTTTTAAATTCATTGTTATAAAGGATGTCTATCTCAGAAGGGAGAGGGAAATATTGAAAAACTGAAATGTAGGTAATTTAAAAACAAAAGATATTGACAACATTATATTTTTGTAAATGAGGGGCAGGACTAAATGCTCTTTATTTTTCCTTGTAGCTTTAAATCCTAAAAATGCTGTGATCTTTGGACTCCTGATTTCCAATACTATGCTGCCATGTGACTTAGGCCTAAGCTGAGACCCAAGGGTGGCCTTCTTGAATCTTTCCTACGAGGATAGTGAGTTTTGTAATACCTTCCTGTCCGAACTGTTTTCCATACCCCATCTAACTTCACCCCTGATCAATGTTCCATCCCCAGCGAGAGATCCCTGTGCAATACTCTCTCTCTCTTCTCTTTCCCCCATCCCTTTGTCTCTGTTTTCCTCTCTCCCTTCCCCATCCTTGTCTCTCTGTCTCAATTTCTGTCTCTCTCCTCTCTGTCTCCTCTCTCACTCTCCCTCCCTCCTTCTGTCTCTCTCCTCTCTGTCTCCTCTCTCACTCTCCCTCCCTCCTTCTGTCTCTCTCTGTCTCCTCTCTCACTCTCCCTGCCTCCTTCTGTCTCTCTCTGTCTCCTCTCTCACTCTCCCTCCCTCCTTCTGTCTCTCTCCTCTCTGTCTCCTCTCTCACTCTCCCTGCCTCCTTCTGTCTCTCTCTGTCTCCTCTCTCACTCTCCCTGCCTCCTTCTGTCTCTCTCTGTCTCCTCTCTCACTCTCCCTCCTCTTCTGTCTCTCTCCTCTCTGTCTCCTCTCTCACTCTCCCTGCCTCCTTCTGTCTCTCTCTGTCTCCTCTCTCACTGTCCCTGCCTCCTTCTGTCTCTCTCCTCTCTGTCTCTTCTCCCACTCTCCCTGCATCCTTCTCTGTCTCTCTCTCCTTCACTACCCTTCTCCCCTCTCCCCACCCCAACCTCTCCCCCTCTCTCACCTCTCTTGAAATCAAGCAGGAACCATCGATAGCAGAAATAGAAGTGAGTGTAGTCTCCATTCTGGTGCATCAGTTCAAAGAGCTCGGAGTCCAGGATCTGGAAGAGGAGGAGGGGAAGGGGAAAGGATGGGAGGAGGAAAAAGGGAAAGGGAGCGATGGGAAGGGAGATATAGTTGGAAGGGAGAGAGGGATGGATGGAAGGAGGAGAAATGGAGGGAGGGAGAAACGGATAACAGGGTAGAGGTCAAGAGAAGGAAGAACAGATGGAGAGTGGGAGGAAAAAGTGGCTGCGAGCTGTTGGTCAGAACGCACACGGTCTCAGACAGCCCTTCAAAGCCATCTGTCTGTATATCTGACCTCGCTGTCTGCCTGGGTGTTCTATATTCATGTGGCATTTTGTTTTTGTTTTTTTGGCTAGTCAATGGGGTTAAGTGACTTGCCCAGGGTCACCCAGCTAGTGTTAATGTCTGAGGCTGGATTTGGACTCAGGTCCTCCTGAATCCAGAGCCGGTGCTCTATCCACTGTGCCACCTAGCTGCCCCATGTGGCATTCCTGGCAGTCTACCTGTGTCTCACCTGTTCTCACTGCCCTCTCTGTCCCTCCCCGTCTTGTCTTCTCTGGGCAGGTGTTTGGAAATTCAATCCCATCCTGTAATATTGTACTTCCCAATTGCTGCCCCCTAACATGCAAACACCACCCCCAAGTGAAGGAATGAAATGTAGATCCTTTCAACATTAAAGCGAATTACAGAAGCCCTGAATCATGACTTCAGGACTAGAAGTGATCTCAGTGGCCTTCTAGATCAGCCCAGACCCGAAAGCAGTCCTCACAAGTGGTTGTCAGCCTCTGCTTAAAGATGGCAAAGGAGAGGGAGCCCATCACCTCTGAAGCCAGCTCCACCCACTTTGGGGAGCCCAAGGTTTTCCCGATCTCAAGCCTAGATTGGCTTCTTCAGCTTCTGTCAACCTAGTCCTCTACGTTCTTGGGCCAAACAGGACAAAGTTAAGCCTTCTCCCACCCAACAACTCTTCAGATAGTTGAAGACAGCCTACGATTCTGTCTCTGTCTCTCTTTTTCTCTCCCCACTCTGAGTCTTTTCCCAGTCACTTCAACGGCTCCTTAGATGGCATGGATGCAGGAGGTCCTTCACCATCCTGGCCTCACCAACTTCTGGATACCATCCAGTTTGTCAAATGTCTTCTTAAAACACAGAGGCCTAAATTTAATCCCATGTTCCAGGTGTGGTCTGACCACAGGAAGACAATCACCATCTCGTTCCTGAAGGCTATCTCAGTGGAGATCACAATGACTTTTTCCCTTGCCCCATCACATTGCTGACTCACCTTGAGCTTGCAGTCCATTAAGACTCACAGATCTTTCTCAGAACATCTGCTGTCTAACTTTGCCTCCCCCACCCTATATTTATGAAGTTGATTTTTCTGAATCCAAGTTTCATTCTTGATATCTATCCCCACAAATTTAATCTTATTATTTATTATTTAATCTTATTACTTATTCATCTCATTACTTATTATTTCAGTTATTCAGCCTAGTTCACACACTTATTAAGATTTTTTTTAGATCTGATTCTATCATCCAGTAAGCCATCCTCCTCAGCTCCATTTCATTAACAAGTTTGATATATAATTAAATAAAAAAATTATAAAATAATAATATCTTTTTTTCTTTTATAAAGGAGGGTACTGGGGGGCATTATTGGGATGTGAATGTGCTATAAAAATCAAAATACATTAATAAAATAGGCACTTATGTGGCCCAGTTGATAAAGTATTGGACTTGGAGTCAGGAAGATGTGAGTTCAAATTCTGCCTTAAGCACTTACTGGCTGTGACCCTGGGCAAGTCACTTAACCTCCATCTGCCTCAGTTTCCTCAAATGTATAGTGGGGATAATGATAGTACCTACCTCCCAGGGTTGTAAGGATTAAGTGATATAATATTTGTATAGCATTTATCACCATGCCTGGCACATAGTAGGTACTTAATAAATGCACATGTGACCCTGAACAAGTCATGTAAACTTTATCAGCCTTAGTTTCCTCTTCTGTAAAATGGAGATAATGATCACCTATCTCAAATAATATGGGTAAAGCACTTTACAAACCTTAGAAAACTAGACATTAGTGATTACTACTGCTACTACTATTACCTCTACTACCACCACCACCACCACTATTACTACTACCACTACTACTACTACCACCACCACCACGACTACTACTACAACACATTTAAAAATTAAAGCAAATTATGCCTACAAGCTGTTTTTAAAAATATTTGCACATATAAGAAATGATGAACAGGCTGACTTCAGAAAAACCTGGAAAGACTTATATGGTCTGATGCTGAGTGAAGTGAGCAGAACCAAGAGGACTTTGTACACAATAACAGCCACGTTATGCAATGACTAATATTGTTAAACTGAACCCTTCTCAGCATCACAAGGATCTAAGACATCTCCAGAGGCCTCAGGATGGAAAATGCTGTCCACATCCAAAGAAAGAACTATGGAAGTTGAATCGCTATTACTTATTTTTACCTTCTGTTGAGTTTTGTTTCATCTTTCTGATGGTTCCTCCTATTGGTTTTCATTTTTACTTACAACTTCACTAATGTGAAAAGATGCTTAATAGGAATGTAAATGTAAAACCTATATCAGATTGTGCGCCGTCTTGGGGAGGGTGGGGGGAGGAAAGGGGAGAAAAATTTTCAACTCAAAAGCATATGGAAGTGATTGTTGATAAATTAATAAAATTAATAAAATTGGGGGGGAAATAAAAAAATAAAAGATTCACCTATATATATATTTGCACAATGATTTTTGTCATTTCTGTATCCCCAGAGTGTTGTACACAGAAAGCATTTGATACACAATTGCTGACTGAGAGGTTAGTCATACCTCTTAAGATTCTAGCAAACATTTATTAATTACCTACAGCATGCAAAGCAACTTACTAGGAACTAGAGCAGCTGTAGCATTTATAAAGGAGAGTGGAGCGCATTATTTAGTAGCAATGACCAGTGAGAACTAAATTAGGAAGTCCAGAGCCCTGGGTTCTTTTCCCAGCTGTGTGATCTCAGACAAGCCCCTTCCCCTCCCTGGACCTCTGGACCTTTGAGAACATGAACAAGCTGAACTAGACGATCTGTAAGGCCCCTCAAAGCTCTGCCACTCTACAGACTTTTGATCTACAGCTAGAGATATAGGATGTGACAGCTTCAAATGAGGACTGTAGGCGGTTGAGGGGCAGGCACCTACCTGGATGAGCGAGCGCATGTTGGCAAAGTGCGTGTCCATGGCCCCGCCGTTGGGGAAGTTTTGGCCCATCCTCTTCATGAGTTGACTGAAGCAGCTATAAGCCAGCTGGTCTGATAGGAGAGTGGGGGGGTGGGGGTGGGGCCTCCAGTGAGGGGGAGGGCATTACTGCCTTGGCCATCTCCCCGCTGTGGCCTGAGGCCTCTGAGCCCAAAACATCATCTCTCCCACCTAAACCTTGTGCCAGGAGGCTGGCACTAGGTAGGGACCAGATTCACACTTAAAAGAATGAGAAACTGAGACCCAAAGAGTTGAACCCCAGTTGCCCTGGAATCAACTTTACATCTTTTCTAGCTTCAGTGGCCAGTAACATAAAATGACACCAACCCCATCCCCTGCCCTGCCCTGCCATCTCCACCCAGGACCCCTGAGTACCAAGCCCCAGTCACCACCCTCCCTCCCACTGCTCCTGGGCTCCCAGGAGCCCTCACCATTGTCGAGGATGACCATGAGGGGTGCCAGCAGGTCACACATGCCCTGCACATAGCCCACATCCAGATGCTCCCATACATAGCTGTGAGGCCCAGGAAAGCAGAATTAGTCAACGAGACTGACCCCCAGGTTCAGGTCCACTCTGTTTCCCACAATCAACTTAACAAATAAGCAATTATTAAGCATCTACAATGTACCAAGAATTGTACTAGGGATTTTTGTTTCTGGAGGAAGAGAAAGACAAGGAGGAGAAAGAGAAAGAGGACAAGAAACCATTATCATCACCACCCAGGGAAGAAATAACCACCTTCTCTCCTTCTATTCTGTGCCCTAAGGTTCTGTTGCTTCTGGTGAAGGGAGGAGGGGCTGGCTAATCTAGGTCAGCTGTGGCCACTGAAGTGAGTGGGGCGGGAGGGGAGCTGAGGGGAAGAAGATGCTGGCCAGTTTGGGGTTAGGAGCTGCCAGCTCTCTGGGTCTCTGGAAGCTGATCAGTGAAGGACTGACCACCCCACCCCTGAAAACCAGGGAGCACCTAGTCCCTGGCAGGTTGGGCCTCTGCCCAATGCCACGGGTCCTCTTCTCTCCAGATGCTCAGGGCTGCCCACTGAACCAGAACCTTAGAGGCTGTGATAGAAGGAAGAGATTTGGGAGGCTTGCCACCCCTCCTCCATTAGGATCCCTTCTTTTCACCTTCAAACCTCTCAGAGCAGGAAACCACCTGGGAAGAAAGCACAGTGCCTAGGAGGCAGAGACCCGGGTTCCAGTCCCAGCTTTCTCACTAACTTGTTGGTGGCCTTGGGCTCTTCATTTAACACCATGGGGTCTCAGTTTCCTCATTTGTTAAATGAGGTGATTAGACTAGATGACATCAGGTCCGATCCCAGCTCTGCCACTTACTACTCCTGTGACGTCATTTACTCTCTCGAGGCCTGTTTCCTCATCTGTAAAGTGAGGGCTTTGGACAAGATGACCCGTTCTATCATCTCTAAGACTCCCTCTAGCTTGAGCATTCCCAGATTCTACTATAGAAGCTCCAAGCCCGTGGCCTCGGAGCTCTACCTTCTCCCCATGCTGGCTTCCTCTGAGCCTCCCCCCAACTGCCAGCACCTGCACATGATGTTTCGAAGCTTCTCCAAGTTGGTGGGTGTGAAATACCAGTAGTTTCGGTCACACCGTTGCACGTCCTTGTCGATCCGGTGGAGGTTCAAGGCCACGGTGTCCAGTAACTCTATCTGAGAGAGGACCCACGTATCCATCAGGGTTGGGCTTTCCAGGGCTTTATTACTGTCCCTTTCCCCTCAGTCAAATTCTCCTTTATTATTGGTCCCACCTCCCCACCTCCCCAGGCAAGGTCTGTAGAGGGATGGGTAGGAGAGACTTAACCAAAAGAACTCATGCTCTGGATATGTGCAGAGAAGAAAATCAGCACCCATCTGCCAGGACCTGGGAGCCTGCTCATACCCAGAGGCAGGGGGATGAAGTAGATGACCATGGGAGGTCTCTCTAGGAGCCTAGAACTATCGGTAAAGTTGCCCTGGGATTCCTGGTCAGTGGGGAGGGTGTGTGGGCCACTGAGACTCAAAGACAAGGGTGGGGGTGGAGGGGCAGGGGATGACCACATACGGTGTAGGCGGCAGCACAGACAGCAGCCAGTTCTTCCCCTGCCCCCAGCTCGCTGGACTGTGGGGTGTCCTCCTGGGTAGGGTCTGGGGGCTCGTAGAGGGAGGCTCGGGGACCAGAAGCAGATGGATCCAGCTCTTCCTCCTCTCCTTGGTCTTCTTCCTCAAAACCCACACTCTGTCCGTCATCAATGCTGGACTGGACTCCAGAAGCCACGGAGTAGTTACGGGAAGATGGCAGCCCTGAGTCTGGTGAGTCAAACTCCACAGATTGCTGCTGCTCCACTATCGCAGTACCTGGTGTTCCTGCCATTGGCACTGTGCCAGCCATGGAATCTTCAGGGCACTTTGGTCCCATATCGGGGGGATCCATTTCATCCACAGAGATGAACACCTAATGTGGAAGGAGAGCAATGGTGGCCATGTTATACAAGGGCTATGACTTCCAGTTAGGTTAGCTAGTCTGAACCCCTCACTTAACTGATGATGAAACTGAGGTCTTTGGAGGTTAAATGACTTGCTGCTAAGTAGTAGAGTTAGGGATCAAACCCAGGTCCTTTGAAAGCAAGTTGGGCACTCTTTCCATTGGGCCATTCTTCCTCCCTCAGAGGAAGAGCTCTGCATTTGTCCATTAGCTCTGAAATCACCTTTCAGCAATGGTCTGCCTTTCCCTGGTCCACCTCTGAAAAACGTTCACTAAAATGGCCTTGCAGGCAGCTCCTTGCCCACTGTGGACAGAAAGCACCAATACCCTGCCTTTCTGCTTCCCATCTCTCTAGCGTAGGTTTTGATGCTGCTCACACAGAGGATGGCATGAAGCCACCTGACCCAAACTTTGGCAGAGCAGATAAACAGCTGGAATCTGAGCAAACATTTGAACAGAATAGGTCTTCCCTTGGCCCTAGTCCCATTCCAGCCTTCTCCAGAAATACTCTAGACACCTCAACCTTAGGATGCTGGAAACAGGGTTGAAGCATTCAGGCTCCTTCTGCTGACTCTAAGGTTGGTTAGCCAGACTGTATGGTAGAGTCCTAGCCTATAAGTATCTGAATCAATGGGACCAATCTATGTGCAAAGAATAGCAGTGCTGCCTGGGCTGAGGTGGTAGAGGTGCCCTAGGGAGCTGATTCCAAGACCCTCTAAAACAGGGGCTTTTAACCTGTCATGTGTCCCAGACTTCTTTGGCAATCTAGCAAACCTCTTTCCCAGAAACAAGTTTCTATAAAATTGAAGAAAATACTAAGTTTCCGTTCAAAGTGGAAATAAAGATGTAATTTTTTTCCCATCTAAGCTCAGAGACCCCCTGAAATCTATTAGGAACCCCTGTTCTAGTGGATGTAAAGAAACCACCAGATACTTGTATTCGTAGACCTAGCTGTGGTCAGTGGAACCTGACTACCTATAGTTTCTGGTCATGTGGTCAACCCTCTTTTCTCCAACTGATAAATGGCCAATGGATATGAACAGGCCGTTTTCAGGAAAAAAAACCATAGGTATCTGTAGTCATATAAAAATGCTCTAAATCACTGTTGATTAAAAAAAATGAAAATTAGGGGGCAGCTAGGTGGCACAGTGGATAGAGCACTGGCCCTGGAGTCAGAGGACCTGAGTTCAAATCTGGCCTCAGACACATAATACTTCCTAGCTGTGTGACTCTGGGCAAGTCACTTAACCCCAATTGCCTCACTAAAAAAAAAAAATTTAAATTAAAACAATTCTGAGGTATGACCTTATACCTATCAGATTGGCTAATATGACAGAAAAGGAAAATGATGGATATGGGAAAATAGAGACACTAATGCACAGTTAGTCTTGCGAACTGGTCCAGCCATTCTGGAGAATAATTTGGAACTATGTCCAAAGGGCTATAAAACTGTATATCCTTTGACCCAGCAATATCACTACTAGGTCTCTATCCCAAAGAGATTAAAAAAAAAGGGAAAACAACCTATATGTACACAAATATTTATAGCAGCTCTTTTTGTGGTGGCAAAGAATTAGAAATTGAGGGGATGCCCATCAGTTGGGGAACGGCTGAACAAGCTGTGGAGTATATATGTGATGGAATACTATTGTGCTATACCAAATGATGAGGGGGATCGTTCCAGGGGGAAAAACATCTGGAAGACTTACATGAACTCATGTAATTGAAGTGGGCAGAACTGAGAGATCCTTGTATACAGTAATATTAATATTGTAACAATGATCAACTGTGAAAGACTTAGCTACTCTCAGCAATATAAAGATCCAAGACGATTCCAAAGGACCCATGATGAAGCATGCGATCCACCTCCAGGGAGAGAGCTGACGGACTCTAAGTGCAAACTGAAGCATAATTTTTTACTTTCTCGATTTTTCTTGCTTTTTTTGGCAACATGGTCAATATGGAAATGTTTTGCCTGATTCCACATGTATAGCTGATATCATATTGCTTGCCTTGTCAGTGGTGGCTGGGGAAGGACTGGAGGGAGGAAGAGAATGTGAAACTCAAAGTTTTAAAAAAAGAAGTGACATAAGTAATCATTTTTAAAAGGCATCTTCTGTTACTAAACTGCTGAAATCAAAGATGAGAGTCACCATTAGTGACGTATGATTCAGAGTCAGAATTAAGTTATGTGCCCTTAATAAATGCTCAGCTGGATCCAACCATTCTGGAGAACAATTTGGAACTATGCCCACAGGGCTATAAAACTGTGCATACCCTTTGATTCAGCAATACCACTGCTAAGTCTATACCCCAAAGACATAAAAGGGGGGGGGGGGAAGGACCTATTTGTATAAAAATATTTATAGCAGCTTTTTTTGTGGTGGCTAAGAATTGGAAATTGAAGGGATACCCATCAATTGGGAATGGCTAAAAAGGTTTGGTATATGATTGTGATGGAATATTATCGTTGTATAAGAAATGACAAACAGAGTTTTACAAGCAGTATCTCTGATAAAGGCCTCATTTCTAAAATATATAGAGAACTGAGTTAAATTGATAAGAATACAAGTCATTCCCCAACTGATGAATGGTCAAAGCACATGAACAAGCAGTTTTCAGATGAAGAAATTAAAACTACCTATAGTCATATAAAAATGCTCTAAATCATTATTGATTAGAGAAATGCAAATCAAAACAACTCTGAGGTACCACATCACACCTATCAGATTGGCCAACATGACAAAACAGGAAAATGATACATGTTGGAGAGGATGTGGGAAAATTGGAACACTAATACATTGTTGGTGGAGTTGTGAAATGATTCAACCATTTTGGAGAACAATTTGGAACTATGGCCAAAGGGCTATAAAAATGTGCATACCCTTTGACCCAGCAATACCACTTCTAGGTCTGTATCCCAAAGAGATCATACAAATGGGAAAGGTACTCACATGTACAAAAATATTTATAGCAGCTCTTTTTGTGGTGGCAAATAATTGGAAATTGAGGGGGATGCCCATCAATAGGGGAATGGCTGAACAAGTTATGGTATATGAATGTAATGGAATACTATTGTGCTATAAGAAATGATGAACAGACAGACTTCAGAAAAACCTGGAAAGACTTGTATGAACTGATGCTTAATGAAGTGGGCAGAACCAGGAGAACATTGTACATAGTAACAGCTACATTTTGACTAAATTTGATAGATTTATCTCTTCTTAGCAATGCGAGGATCTAAGACAACTCCAAAAGACTTATGATAGAAAATGCTGTCCACATCCAGAGAAAGAACTGTGGAGTCTGAATGCAGATGGAAGCAGATGATTTGCTCTCTCTCTTTTTTTTCTTTTTTTGTTTCTTCTTTCTCATGGTTTCTCCCATTGGTTCTAATTCTTCTTTATAACATGACTAATGTAAAAAATATGTTTAATATGAATTATATATAGAGCTTATATCAAATTGCATGCCATCTTGGAGTGGAGGGAGGGGAAAGATGGGGAGAAAATGTGGAACTCAAAATCTTATGGAAGTGAATGTTGAAAACTAAAAATAAATACAAAAAAGGAAATGACAAGCAGGACGATTTTTTAAAAACCTGGAAAGACTTACATGAAACTGATGCAAAGAACCAGGAGAACATTGTACACAGTAATAGCAATATTATACGATGACCAGCTGTGAATGACTTTGCTATTTTTTCAGCAATACAATGATTCAAGACAAGCCCAAAAGACTCATGATGAAGCATGTTCTCCACCTCCAGAGAAAGAACTGATATTGTCTGAATATAGACTGAAGCATACTATCTTCCTTCCTTCCTGAGTCTTCTTGTACAACATGACTAATATGGAAGTGTTTTACATGATTATACATGCATAACCTATATTGGATTGCTTACTGTCTCAAAGTGGGGGGGAGGGGAGGGAGGGATAGAATTTGGAACTCAAAACTTTAAAAAAAAAGCCCAAATGTTAAAAAAAAAATTGCTTTAACATGTAATTGGAGGGGAGGGGAAGCTAGGTGGCGCAGTGGATAGAGCACAGGTCCTGAAGTCAGGAGGATCTGAGTTCAAATCTGGCCTCAGACCAAACATTTGACACTTACTAGCTGTGTGACCCTGGACAAATCACTTAATCCCAATTGCCTAAAAACAAAAACATGTAATTGGGGGGAAAATAAAATATTAAAAAAAATAAATACCCTGTTGTTTTCAAGAATGGCTGTCTGCCAGTATTCTCATTGACCTCTTCAGCTTTCTTTTGTGTATTGTCTTCCTCCATCAGACTGTAAACTCCTTGAGGTCAGGGATTGTCTTTCTCTTTTATAGTTGTATCCCCAGAGCTTAGCACAGTGACTGGCATACGGTAGGCATCTAATAAATGTTTATTGACTAACTGACCTGATCAAAATTGATCAGTGACCAGCACTTAGCCTTTAACTGTATACTTTTATGTGAATAAAGTTGGTTAAGTGGGCTCAAATAAAACCACTTTTGATGTTTTTGAGCACAACCATGTTTTCATAGTTCAGAAGAAAATGGGCATGAGCCCTTTAAGAAGCAGGTCTGGAAGGACAGGAAAGCCTGCTGAAGTGGTTACTAAAGACATCTATTGTGTATAGATAGAAGAGGTTAATCTGTAACAGTTGCTCTAGAGAAGGGAGGGAGGGGAGGAACAGATGGGAGAAAGGATGATACCAGGGAAGCCACAGGAAGATACGATGTGTTTCTACGTCACTGTGTTTGAGTATTCCAGAGTATCGGAGTATGTCAGTGCTAGAACTGGGATGGAGCTCAGGAGCTATTTAATCCTTGTTGAAGGATTGATGAAGAAACTGAGGCCCAGGGAGGTAAAGAGACTTATCTAAGGAGTCACCCAGGTAGCAACCATTAGAGGCAGGGTTTCAAACCAGATTATGATTCCAGATGATTATTCTAGATCAAATTCAGATTATGATCTAGCATT